TAGGCAAAACCAATAGTATTTTGAGATAATGAAATCGAACATTGTAACTAGAAAAAAAAAAGAATAATATCAAAATATATTTCTATTTGGAAAGTTTATTACTCATTTACTCCAGTAGTTATGTCAATGAAGTGGTTGTATAGTTTCATTAGTTTTAGAATATTTTGTCAAGACTGATCAATGTTTACTACTGAGTGTACGTAATCGCAATATCCAGTAGTAATCACATAATGATAAATTGGAGACTCTAATTTCTTGAGTACGTTGGTCTAATACAAACAAACTACTTCCTGCGTGACGACAAACTAAAACCTACGCAAAGGAACTTAAGATTCTTCAGTCGAAGTAAAGCCTTGATTCCTTTAACTAAACAAATCTGAAATCCCTAGTTTTTATACTTATAAATCATATGATAATTATATGGTTTTTATAATAATTTCACGATGAGAAATACAATTACACGAGGCAAATCCCACTGGTCCAAAACTTTACTATTTCTTTGAGACAGTTTTTTTGTTGTCAACAATAGAAATGAAAATTGATGTCAGTTTCTTAAGGTCACTGTATTTATTATCACTGAGAAAATAACGAGTAGAAAAATAATTAAATATGATTTATCTATATATAGTGTATATCTATATGAAATGTAATATGTGTAGAATGCTAAAATTGGATTAAAAGGTAAAAATTTGCACACACAAAAAAAGAATTAAAAAGTACAAAAACAAAATAGAAATTTGTTGCCTGTGATGGGTTTAGCACCCCTTGCTAAAAGCCATTCATAAATTGAGATAAAGCTGAAGCCCTACCTCCGCCTCCAAATTTAGGTCGGTGCTCAAATAAGAAAATATCCGAAGATATATTCGAATCGCGGAAGAAAAGGAAAGGGAATCCCGAGAAGAAAGGAAACTATCTTTATCCCGAAGAACAAGGATTTGATTCAATGCGGTCTACGAAAGCTATATAAAAAGAGTCTCCTTCCTCGAAGATCATTTATTCACAACTTCGGACTTGAGATTTAGGGTAAACAATAGCTTTCTGCTTTCAGCTTTAGATCTCGGTTCTTACTATCAAATTTTAGGTCGGCGTTTTTTTCCGATGATCTAAAACCCTTGTATCCTTCGAGCTCCGGCTAATCAATAAAATAGTTTTATCTTTCCTCCACAAATCTTTATATTTTTTTAGAGGAGATATCCAGATCTTACAAGTAAATAGTTAGAGAAATCTATATTTTTTTTTTTGAACAACACAAAAATAAACGCGTTTTCTTACTTTGTCCAATTATAAAATAATGTAATTGTGGTCCATAACCATCCCTGTCCGCAACAATTCCATAATTTATAAAAAGAAAAGAAAATTGTGATAATAATATTGGTATAATGTTCATACTAATTAGAACATACTTAGTATATGTGTGATGTTCGTCACTCGAAATTATAAGTCGTTTCGAGAGAAAAAAAAAAGAAACACGTTTTTAGTGGCTTAATTCAAAAACTGTGTTAGGTCTTTGCTAATCAAAGGATTCCAACTAAACAACTTCAATATATTTTCATATGCAATTAGCTGAAACATCGAATATTCCGCTATATATAATTTTCACTATGACCACTATAAACGTTTTAGGTGATAAAAATTTCAAAAAAGTGTTCGCTTAAAAGAAAATGAGTACTCAATTAATACATGCAAAATTCTAATAAAATAAAATTTAATAACCTCTCTAACTAAACTCATTTGTGTTGTGAGGGTCAAATTCCTTTTTTAAGTCTCCCTTTCCTCTTCGTCAATACTTCTCTATAAAACTCCATATTTTCAGTTTCTCTCTACAATCTTTGTCTTCTTCCATTTTCCAATACTAATTAATGGATAACACCAACCGTCTTCGTCGTCTTCGCAGTCGTAAGCAAACCAAGTTCACTCCACGACATGATGACTCCGAAGGTCTCTCTTTTAATTTATTTGATGTCCAATGCTTCTTCCTTTGATTTGGGTCTATATATACTCATTCATTTTACTTCTCTTCTACCTTAAGTTCTTCTCAACATCGTATTCTTAATTTTCTCTTCTTTAAATATTGATTCTTGGTTGAATACATAGACATGACTAACTAAAATGCAGAAGTGAGTAGTATCGAATGGGAGTTTATCAATATGACCGAGCAAGAAGAAGATCTCATCTTTCGAATGTACAGACTTGTCGGTAATAGGTAACATTTTCTTTTTCTGTTTATATATTTATCCCTTTCCCAGATAAATTCTTGACCTATATATATATATGTATGTGTGTGTATGTGTGTTTAGGCAAGTATAACGTGAAGATATTTATTACGTGAAGCAAATGGCGTCCACAACATTATTTTTAAATGATGTTCCACGTTATTTTAAGAGAATTATTTTTAAGTGAGTGTTTTATTTTTTTGTTTGTCGGATTATTTTTTTGTTCTTTTGGCATGGTAACTCCTCTATAGTTTTAATCAAGTGGTGGTGGTCTAGTGATTTTCATATGAGGAGGAGTTGCTATATTGGTCGAGGTCAATGATTTATTTTCTTTAGATGCGAAATTGCTAAATTGATTCTATTCAGCCACACGAATATAAACCTATATATATTTTTGACCTATTTAAATATCTAGAGAAAGAATTTATCCATATTACACATTCCCTAAAGGATTAGTCTCTATAATCTTGTGATAATTAGTAGGGGTTATTGGTTCTTGTATTTTGGTGGATTTATAAATCTTCTTTGGATTTGATAAATTTATTGATTTCAAAATCAGCAAAATGGAAAAAAAATCAAATCTACTCAAATACCAAGGTTAGACCTTGTATTTGGGTCTTTGTATTTTAGTATGAAAATCCTTCCAAATCCATTCAAATTCAATTAAAACTCAAATCCTTATAATATTTAAATTCTAAAATGATAGAACCAATAACACTGTATTTCATTATGGATTTTAAAATCATAGAACCAATAACACTGTATTTCAATATAAATTTTAAAATATAAAAACCAATAACACTGAATTTGGTTTGGATTCTCAAATCCATTAAAATACAGGAACCAATAACAAATATTACCTTGAACCCAATTATTAATAACAACACATATTTATGATTTTCTGTATTTTGCTTTTTCTTTGTCTTTTCTCATGTGGTTTTCAAACCAGTAATCAATAAACTATACTTAGATGGTAGATATACTGGGAAATTTTGTTTTGTTACCAGTTATATTACAATATTTCAAAAATCTGGTAAAAAGTTTTTTTAGTGGCTCATAACTATTTACTTTTTGTGTGTGTGTTTATGCTCGCAAAAGTGTAGGATATATACCTCTAAGCTAATATATATCACTTCTAAAGATGCTTTGCTAAGTAAATTATACTTTTCATTATTATATAATTGTTTAGTTCAGAAAGTGATAATGAAATGGAATTTGATAATTGAGAAATTGAATAATAATATCAGGTGGGATTTAATAGCAGGAAGAGTGGCTGGAAGAGAGGCGAAAGAGATAGAGAGGTATTGGATAATGAGAAACTGTGACTATTTCTCCCACAAACGACGCCGTTTTTCTGTTTCTCATCCTTAATCTCTCTGTATTATTTAAAATCTTTGAAATCGTCAATGTCTTTCTATCTCATCATATGTATTTACAAATCTTTCAAGGACTTCTTCCTTATTATATAGGAAATGAAGGACTATATGATATAGTACTTTCAATACAGAATTCTAACAGAAGTTTAGTTTTCTTTTACCAAAAGATCGAATGTCAGTATTTCACAATTGTAGATTAAACACAAACATTTTAGGTAAAATAGAGTAGACAGCAAAAAGAGAAGGATTTATTACGATTTGATTAATACTATTCATTATTCTGACAATATACTCAGATGTTATGATCATTCATCTTCTGCTTCTTCTGTGATATATTGATTCTCCATTTCCATTATTGTCTTTTGCATCTTCAATCTCTGGGCCTTTCCTTCTCCTCCACCTCTTCCGGTTGTACTAAAGACCAATTTAAGGCATAGCAAGCAATAATTTACCAAAGTGAATTTCAAGTAAGCTAATGCATTCTCCTAGCAGCTTTTATAACTAGAGTTGATTTTCTTTAGAATTTGGTTTTTTTATTATTTCTAATCTAATTTTTTTCTTCTAGATTTTAAGTCCATAATCTCTCGTATTACCTAAAATGAGTTCGTCTTATTTTTCTTTTAAAGAATATATTTCATTTTCAAAAGAGATTTGAATTTGGAATATTCATAGTAAAAGAATATAAGATTGAAATGACATGCAGTTTTTTCACGTTTTTACGTTTTGAAAACATAGTTTCACTAAATATATCATTCATAATATTAAACCCTAGATGATAAAAAGTGAAAATCAATACACTATTTTTCATTTCATCCTGCACATTTTAAATTTATAACTAGTTAAAAGAAAAATATATTCATCTAATAAATACTAACTTTTTAGCGTTTTGAGTTTATTCAGTTTACCCATCCTATTGAATCCGCTAGTTTATTATTCAACTATTCAGCTATTCAGCTATTAAGTTGATATACCAGTAAAACTCTAATTGTGATATATCAATAACAACTTGTAAATACTTTTTTTAAATGATAATTTGTAGAATTACACATTCACTGTTACGAAAATCAGCAAAAGAAGAGGTGCAAAGTTATAAAATATGCTACCTCATGATAAATTGTGGAGCTCACATCACTATACATACATAATAGTTTTTTTTTTAATTCTATATAAGCGAATGATTTCATTCGATTGTAACATAACATATTTCCTACATTTCTTACATTTCAGTAAAACATCTATCTCCTCTCTCTCTTTTTACTAATAAAAACGAATATTAATAATAAATATGAATCTGCAAATTGAAAATATTTTTACTTTGTTTAACCAAAATTTAAACATTATTAATTGAATTTAAATCAAGACTTATACATTAACGTAATTAAATAAATGATCAGATGTTTTGGAGGAGAAGATGAGCAAGAAAGAGGCAAAGAAGCGAGCCGCTAAACTGGAGAAGTTGCACCGTAAACAGGAACGAGAAGAAGCCACATCATCTTGTCTTTCTCTGGAGGAGGATGAATCGTCTTCCAGCAACTACGGTGACGTGACTCTTAGCGAGTTTCAGCCGGCTGTTGAGGGAAAAGAGCTCACTAATGTGAGCAACTTGGTTGAAGAGATTGTGGGGTCAGAGGTTTCGATTAGAGGTCGAGTGCAAAAGAAACTTTTAACGTAGCAAAAACTTGTTTGTGATCTTCAGGGAAAGTGGATTCACAGTTCAATGCATGGTGAAGGAGGCCAGAGTCGGTGCAAACATGGTTAAATTTGTCAAGCAGCTGAGTCGTGAATCCGTTGTTGAGCTTATCGGTGTCGTCTCTCCCCCTAAGGACCCTCTCACAGGAACCACTCAGCAGGTTTCCTTTTCTTTTTCTTTCTTTGATTGATTCAAATAGTGACATATAAATCAAGAGACATTAACTCATCGATAATGTTGTTGCAGGTTGAAATACATGTCAGAAAACTGTACTGCCTCAGCAGATCCTCGCTAAATTTACCACTTGTTGTGGAGGATGCTGCTCGAAGTGAAGCAGATATTGAAAACTCTGTAAAAGTAGAACATTGTTTTAAGATTTGGAGCTCTGCCTAATGTTTCTTTATATAAGAAAGCTCCGCTGTTTGCATGATTGATTGCTGCAGAATGGTAAACCAGCTGCTCGTGTCCTTCAGGACACACGTTTGAATAATAGGGTTATTGAGATGAGAACACCGGCTAATCAAGCCATCTTCCGTATTCAGGGCCAAGTCCAAACTGTAAGCCCTGATTTGATATGCAACATGGAGGGTTTATAGCTAGGATATGATTTTGTCATTATACATTTGTTATCCTAATGATGGTTTAATTGTTTGTGTATGCGTTCAGAGAATTCTTACAATCCAAGGGGTTTCTTGAAATCCACACACCCAAAGTGAATGCTGGCAGTAGTGAAGGAGGCTCTGCTGTATTTGGGTTGGACTACAAAGGGCAGCCTGCTTGTCTGGCTCAGTCTCCTCAGCTTTATAAGCAGATGGCGATATGTTGTGACATGCGACAAGTCTTTGAGGTTGGTTCTGTTTTCAGAGCTGAAGACTCCTTCACTCATAGACACCTGTGTGAATTCGTTGGTCTTGATGTGGAGATGGAGATTCGAAGGCACTACTCTGAGGTATGTATGATTGTGATAGTGTTAACATAATATTTCATCTCTCCATTAATGCTAATAATCTTTTCCTCAGATAATGGATCTTGTGGGGGAGTTGTTTCCGTTCATATTCACAAAAATAGAAGAAAGGTGCCCAAAGGAACTTGAATCTGTCAGAAAGCAATACCCATTTCAATCTTTGAAGGTATCTATTTTTTGGATTCTTAGGAAAAAAAACTGAGTTTCCGGATACTGACTGATGATTGGCACTAAACTTGTAGTTTCTTCCGCAAACATTGAGGCTAACCTTTGCAGAAGGGATTCAAATGCTTAAGGTATGACTGACATTTTTTTTTTTTGCATTTGAGTTATAGACTAAGAATAAATAATAATTAGGAGGGTCATGTTGACAGGAAGCTGGCGAGGAGGTTGATCCTCTTGGTGATCAAAATCTGAGAGGAAACTTGGGCAGCTTGTTCTGGAAAAGTACAAGAAGGAGTTCTACATGCTGCATCGCTATCCATCGGCTGTGAGACCGTTCTACATAATGCCCTGTGAAGACGATCCTAACTACTGAAAGCAAAAGAGAAGAAAGATTTTGAGTAACTGAAACGAGAGATTTTATGAGAATATCAAGACTGCATTTTATTAACTTAAGGGTTTTCGATTACATCAACAAACAATATATAGAGAGACTGCGAATGATCTAGATATTGGACAGATTTCCCTTTAGCAGCTGTCACACAACATGCAAAATCTGTTTGTTAGTGAGGGATAATTAGCTGGCTTGATCGTACATGACAGAGCACACGATTTCTGTGATTTTGTGACCGTTGCAGAGGAGACGGCTGTTGATGATTGAGGTGTGGGCCTGTGTTTTTAATCTCGGCCCAATGTGTCCTTTTGTTGTTGGGCTTGCGTTTGGTGACTCTCTCTTTGAGCCAGCAGTTTTCCTGAGTCTGCACTTACATCCCCCCGCAAACTCGTTGTGGGAAGAATGTCCACACCGAGTTTGAATCGCAAGGAAAAGAAGCTTTCTTGAGGAAGAGACTTTGTGAAGATGTCAGCCAACTGGTGAGAAGATGGGACATGTTTGACTATCAACGATCCTTGGGCTACCTTTTCCCTTGCAAAGTGATAATGTATCTCGAAATGTTTGGAGCGGTTGTGAAGAACAGGGTTTGCCGTTAGGTGAACTGCAGAGAGATTGTCACAATACACTTCTGCAGGTTTGTCTTGAGGAAACCCAATTTCTCTAAGCAGTGTGCCAATCCAGGTCAACTCGGCAGCAGTGTCTGATAGAGATTGATACTCAGCTTCTGTAGACGATCTTGAAACTGTTGGTTGTCTTTTTGCCGACCATGAGATAATGTTAGAGCCAAGAAAAGTACAGAAACCTCCAGTGGATCTGCGTGTTTCTCTGCATCCCGCCCAGTCGCTGTCACAGTACGCTCGTAGAGTGGAATCAGAATCAGATTCGAGCATTAGCCCCATCTTCAAAGTTCCTTTGAGATATTGTAGTACTCGCTTGAGTATGGAGAAATCTGAAACCGAAGGCTGATGCATATTTTGACAAACCAGATTGACTGCAAACTGAAGATCAGGTCTGGTAAGAGTAAGATATTGCAGCTTCCCAGCCAGACTTCGAAAGAAGGTAGGTTCGGGGAAGAGTTGGTCTTGATGAGGTACGCGATCCAGTTGCAGAGGCAGAGGAGTTGGCATCAGAGCACAGTCTAGCATTCCTGCAATTCTCAGAAGATCTGTAGCATATTTTTCTTGATTGAGAAAGAGCCATGTACTTGTGAACTGAGCTTGAATACCAAGAAAGTAGCTCAATGGCCCCAAGTCCTTCATTCGAAGCTTGTCTCCTAAAGATTGCAGCAGTTTTTGAATAAGGGCATTGTCATTACCAGTGAGTACCATGTCATCGACATACAGGAGAAGAAGAAGGATGCTGTTACCTCGTACATAGACAAATAGAGAAGGATCACTTTTGCTGCAGATAAACCCGAATTGCAGAAGATATGAACTGAGCTTGTCAAACCACGCTCGAGGAGCCTGTTTTAGACCATAGATTGCTTTGTGAAGCAGCCATACGTGATTCGGATGTTCAGGATCCTCAAAACCTGGAGGTTGTTGCATGTAAACAGTTTCTTGTAAATCCCCGTGAAGAAATACATTTTTCACATCTAGTTGCTTAATATCCCAGCGATGAATAGTGGCTTTATGCAAAACCATTCTCACTGTCGTGGTTCGCACAACAGGGCTGTATGTTTCAAGAAAATCGACCCCTTCTTCTTGTTCATAGCCTTTTGCAACCACTCTGGCTCGTAGCTTGTCCAATGATCCATCCGCATGTAGCTTTGTTCGAAAAATCCACTTGCATCCCAAGACATTTGCATCCGCAAGAGGAGGAACCAAATTGAACGTGTTTGTTTCAACACAAGTGTTGATTTCTTCCCTCATAGCTCCATTCCATCCAGGGTGTTTCAAAGCGGAAGTGACAGTGTTAGGTTCTTCCGGAGTAGCCTTGATCATAACCTGAGCATACTTCGGGTTTGGTTTGTGAACTCCAACCTTGGCTCTTGTTGTCATATTGTGAGCATTGTCGGGAATAGGATTTGCTTCCAGGGGAGGAAAATCATCGTCGGAGAACAGAGCAGCGTTTAAGTCTGTACCAGACATCGAACTCATGTTAGAGGAGGTTGAAGTCGTTTGTGCAGTGCCAGTTTCACTCGTTTCAGAATCCGAGGAAGGGTCCTGCAGTTGTTGTAGAGCAGCAGTTACTTCAGCGACAGGGTGAGTTGTATGTGAGGTGATTACAATCTCTTCAGGAGTGTTCAGTTGAGAAGATTCAGCAGTGTCGGGTTGCAGCTGGAGACCAGAATGCCAAGCGCTTAACAGAGGTGTAGTGGCAGCCGGCAGGAACGCTTTGTAGTCTTCACTGTAAGGAAACCTTTGTTCATAAAAAAAAAACATTTCTGCTGATATAGACTCTCCCTGTTGGAGGATGTAAGCACCTGTAGCCTTTATAATTTTCATTATATCCAACAAAAACACACAGCAGAGACTTCGGATCGAACTTGTTGTCTGCATATGGCCTGAGATAAGGATAGTAGGCACAGCCAAATAAACGTAATTCTGAGTAGATCGGAGCTTGACCATTAAGGAGTTGAAATGGGCTTACCATTTTGTTGATAACAGATGAAGGTAAGAGGTTGCTTAGAAAATTGGCCGTGAAAAACGCTTCAACCCAAAGATGTTGCGGCAATTTTGCTTGGAACAGCATTGAGAGCCCAAGCTCAGTCAAGTGTCTGTGATTCCTTTCAGCAATCCCATTTTGCTGAGGAGTATGAGGGAAGGAGATAAACTGTTTGATTCCACAAGCCTTAAAGTGTAGAAGAAACTGATTATTAACAAACTCTCCTCCTCCATCACTTTGAAAAATACTAATTTTCTGATTGTATTGATTCTCGACCAGTTGTTGCCAGGATTTGAATATAGACAGAACATCAGATTTCTTCTTAAGGGGATAAAACCAGCTGAATCTTGAAAAATTGTCGATGAATACAACATAATATCAGAAACCCTGAACCGATTGAATAGGTGCAGGTCCCCACACATCACAATGTATTCGTTCTAGAGGCCTATTAGACTGAAAATCTGATCTAGAAAACGGTAACTTGCAAGTTTTTCCTAGTTGGCAGGGTTCACACATAGCCATTGTGGCTTTATTGAAGGAGATAGCTTTGATAGAGTAGAGGTGCTGCATAATATGGTAGTGCGGATGTCCCAGTCTCTTGTGCCACAACTCAACACTCGTGATTTGCTGTCGTGATGAATAGAAGGCAAGAAATTGAGGATTCGCCAACCGGTACAGACCTTCATGCTTGCTTCCCTGACTGAGAAGCTGATTTGTCGCTTTGTCCTTGATAACCACAGATTTAGAATCAAAAGTGAATATACAGGGATAATCATCTGTGAGCTCGGAGACAGAGAGCAGCGATTTGGTAATATTAGGGCAAACGAGGACATCAGTTAGTGGTAAAGTACCTTGAATCGCTGGTATCGCTATGGAGCCAACATGAGTGATTGAGAGAAAGTCACCATTTCCAACTATGACCGCATCTCTTCCGTTGTAAGCGTGAGAGGAGTCCAGATTCTCTGCAGAATTTGTGACATGATGAGTAGCTCCAGTGTCTGGATACCACTCGTTTCTGGCATAGTCATTGTGCTCAGAGATTCGCATAGTAGCTAGAGCTTGAGGCAGTTCTGGTGTTTCAAAGTCTTGATCAAATCGTCTGTAGCATTTGGAAGCTGGATGTCCATATTTGTGACAGATTTGACAGGTTGGTCGTTGTCCGGAGTCTGGAGAGCCTCTGCCTCTGTTAGGACCAAACTGTTGATAAAACCCTCTTCCTTGAGTTGAATAGGAGCCACTTCTGCCTCGATAACCACCTCTATATCCGCCTCTGTCAGCGTATCCTCCTCTTTCTGTGTAGCCATTTATGTCATTGTAACCTCCTCTTTCTGTGTAACCTCCTCTGTTCTGTCCTCTTCCACGGTTGGCGTAACCTCCTCTCTCAGTATAAAAAGCTTGATGTGGCGTGACAGAACCAGGAACCTCATAAGATTGGAGTTTGTCGACAAAGCCAGTGAGTTTGAAAATCACATCATCAAGACACGGACCTGGAAATGCATCCATAAAGTTTTCTATCACCGCGCAGATGGACTCATAGTCTTTTCCTAGACCATTCAGGACCCTGTAGATCTTCTCTTGCTCAGGTATGGGAGATCCTATGAAGTCGAGCTAGTCACACAAGATCTTGATTTCAGACAAGTATTCAGACATAGCCCGGTTTCCCTTAGTTGTGGTTTGTATTTTCCGTTGCAGATCTAGCTTCCTAGTTGCAGAAACTCTGTTGAATCATTTAGCCAGAGTGAACCATACCTCGTGAGAAGAACGGAGGCCGTAGACAGCTTTGAGGGCGGACTCAGAGAATGAACCATAGAGCCAAGCCATGATCTTTTGGTCCATTTGAACCCACTTGAGATAGTCGGGGTTGGTAGTTTCAGAGATCTGGTCAACGGTACAGACGTTGATGGTAGCTGAAGGTCGTGGTGTTGCACCCGTAACATAGCCGAGGAGCATATGGCTGGATAAGAATTGCTCAAACTGGAGCTTCCAGAGCAAGTAGTTGGCTTCATTGAGGCGCAGAGTAACGCATTGTGTAATCGTTAGCGTGGATGGATCTGGAGAAGCCTCCATGGCTCTGATACCATGAAACCAAAAGAGAAGAAAGATTTTGAGTAACTGAAACGAGAGATTTTATGAGAATATCAAGACTGCATTTTATTAACTTAAGGGTTTTCGATTACATCAACAGACAATATATAGAGAGACTGCGAAGGATCTAGATATTGGACAGATGTCCCTTTAGCAGCTGTCACACAACACGCCAAATCTGTTTGTTAGCGAGGGATAATTAGCTGGCTTGATCGTACATGACAGAGCACACGATTTCTATGATTTTGTGACCGTTGCAGAGGAGACGGCTGTTGATGATTGAGGTGTGGGCCTGTGTTTTTGATCTCGGCCCAATACGTCCTTTTGTTGTTGGGCTTGCGTTTGACGACTCTCTCTTTGAGCCAGCAGTTTTGCTGAGTCTGCACTTACAACTACAACACCTGTTTAGAGGTACGGTGCGCCACATCACGGTGGATTCGGAGTGGGGCTGGAGCATGTGGTGATGCTCTTGTGTGCCCTCAATAACACCCGCAAAACTTCGCTATTCCCTCGTGACTCTCAAAGGCTCGCTCCCTAATATCCTCGCGACTCTCAAAGGCTTGCTCCCTTAATATCTATCTCTAATTCTCCACTAATATTTTCTCATTAAGAGTCTTTGTGTAACAACCTACTCCACGGTTCGTTAGGTTGGGTGTTTAGTTATCTTTAAACTAATTATTTTTCCAAGTGTTTCTCTTAATCATTAACTAGGATTTAGCGTGCTCTTACGGGATAATTATTTTTAAAAATTATTAAATTTAAGCTGTATATAAAAGTTTAGTTAAACAAATATCTATATTGTTAATATAGATACTATAGATATTATCTTTCTTGCCTTTTCGCATTTCCTTTCTCTACTTCTTGTTGAAAATTAATTTTCTGGTGAGTAAATATATATGTTCCTTCTATTTATTATCAGTGTATGTCTTTTATTAAAGCTTGCTGTTACCATTTGTCACAGTAACAACTCTAGTAGTTCAACTTTTGTTACTATTAGACAGGCTGAACTTGCCATTAGAACTACAAATGAACCCTCTTTGTCTAGTTGTAGATCTTGCACTTATGGATGTGTGATCTACATGATGTTTCCTGTAAAATGTATAATTGTAACATCATCATACTAAGTTGGTTTGTTACTCCGCTTCTAGGATCCGGATTTCTTGTTTGAGCCCGAGTTTTCTTGTTTATTTCGTTTATGAAAGGCCTTTTGGCTGATCTGATATATAAGCCTAGGGGTATCGTATCACTCTGAAACATTTTGACAATTCGTAGTGTTTTTTTGCATATATTGAGGAGGAAAATATGGACTTTTAGTAAAAGAAAGATTAGATTATTGTTGGTAAGGAGACTAGAGGAATTCTGTGGGACCCAACTGTCTATCATTAGATCGGTCCGAACTTCACCGAGTCTTCTCTTGGCCAGAATACAAAAATATGTATATTTTTAAAAAAAAATTTAAACTTAAACAAGTTCGATTCAATAAAAAACATTCATTCCGATTACATAATTATTCCAGAAACACTTAACAGAATTCAGATTCAATAATAGAAAACTAAACTTATCAGATTCAGTTTAACTCAGAAATGCTAACATCAAAGCCATAAAACAGAAAGTTCAGAACATGAATCCCAAAACTCGGTCTTAATCCACCCCTTCTCTTCATTGGCTTCCAGTCCGTCTTCAGAGCTACTCGCCCTGGACCTTATCTTTACCTTCACACTCAAAAAGAGAGGCATAAGTATTTGATAAATACTTAGTAAATACGGTCATCTCGTAACACGTTAGCCAGTATCAAAAAATGCATCATACTATTAGTTATACAATTCACATTATCACTTAGCAAGCAAGCACAGAAAAACAGTACGGTCCTATGATCATCTCAACTACTTGTGAAGCCTCACAAGGCATCGGTTCTACTCCAAGCGAGAATCACACATTCCCTTGAGCTAGTAACTCGATCCGGACATTCACACAGCTAATTAGACACCATATATTGACCACGGTTCACACTTAACCATTCACATTCTCTCTTTCTCGCTCTTTTTCTCTCAAAAAGTGCGGCTCTCCCGAGAAAAGTCACAGAAATCCACTTTTATACTCGCAAAACCTAGATAGCCCGGTTATAGCCGGCGTATCTTAGTTACAGTCAGGTTTATCCCGGTTAGCTTTAAATTCTCTCGGCTATCACCTAAAACGCTCGGCCATCCACGCGAGATATTAGTTTTTATCCGACCAAACTCACGGTCCACCGGCCCAGCCCATTGTTACTCGGCTATTTTCCTTTTCGCCCTGACATCGTCCACTTTTTCTCAGACAGAACCATTTTTCTCTCGAATATGGTCCGTTCTGCTCGGCCAGCCTGGCCATCTTTCGACTATTTAGTCATCCATCGACTATAGTCTGAACCTCCCATCCATATGGATTTTTCCTTTGACTGAACTCACATTCTTTCGGACAACCTTCCGTCCGGCTCGATCATTCCAGATTTTCTCGGATACGGATGCTACATATTCTACAACAAGTTCAATAGCTACAATTTTAAAGAAATTAAACCACACTTAAAGCATAAATCACGCCTTGACAAAGCTCATCTTGAACTTGTTGTAGTTTCCATCTAGTCTCCTTACCAAATGTAGTTCCAGCCCTGATTGTAATGATTGAAAAGATCGGTACCAAGACCTTGACGAAGCTCATCTTGCGTGTCTACACGCTATCCCTCCGTCGTATGATTGATTTGTTCGGAAGGTCCAAGTGGCCCGTAAGGAGGATCATTACGGTAGTTTGTAAATAACATTTTCACTATTTCAACTAATTCAATAAATATAATTAAATTCAAGTTAACTTTAAAGTATCAACCCACTTAAGTTTCAAAATTCCAAGTTGTCAAGTACGTTACACTTTTAATATTTATGAAATTGGATAATGTTATATTCAAATTTGAAAAATGTGTTGGTAAATAACACAGAAAATAATATATAAAAATTATTTCATTTTGAAGAAAAGTTAAAAATCAAAATTGGTGAGCATATGATTTATGAATAAAAATAACTAATTACTCACATTCAACATTAACTCCTATTTTATGGCTTTGTTTGGTTCGAGATATTGTGACAATTAGAAATAGTATGCATTTTCGGGTTTTAGAACTGTTTACTTTTTATGTTCGGTAACCTAATTGTTAATTTAATTTTCATTTTAATCAATATATTTCAAAATTTAATTTTTTTTTTTTGATTAAATTGTAAATATTCGTGGGAATCTTCGTGGGAAAGATTTTCATTTTTCATAGGGATTCTGTGGAAAAATTTCGACGGAATATTAGTCTAAAATTCGTTAGAAACCTTGAACGGATGATTCCTCGAAAACTCGTGAGATCCAACAATTTTACCACGAATTCTCCACAACCCACTTTCACGGACTTCCTAAGTGTATTGTTCCAAAAAATACTGAAAGAAAGAACAATCACCAAAATGCATTTAAGAGAGCAAAATGTAATACAAGAGTAGATAGCGATAAGAGAAGAAGAAGAAGAAGAAGAAGATTCTTCCACAACTGATATTAACGTCAAACTCTGCAACTTACCAGTCTCAGAATACAGACCAAAAAACACACTCACCAATGGCTAAATCAGGCCTCTTCAGTTGGAAACTGCTTCTCCAAGTCCGCGACAGTCTTCTTTGCATCTTCAACTTCAGGACCATCCGTCTCTTCCATTTCGGCCTGCAAATCAAGCTTTTGTTAGAGACTATAAACACAGAGTATGAATGTCAAGTGTTCCTCCTAAACTTCAGATCAGGCTATACGTTTTTTGTTAAGCTGAGACCAACTAAGGCTGTAGCAAGCAATAACGATTGAAAAAGTGTATATATATACCAAAGTGGACTTCAGGTCAGCTATTGCAGCCGCAAGACGCTTGTGGCAATCCGGAATCATCATCCTTGACTCACCCAAAACGTTTTCCTGCATCACCCACATGGACAATTAGGCCAAACCAAAACCTGATTCCGAATCTGAAATCAGTCACCATTTAGCTTATTCATGATGAGACAGATCACAAGAAATTCCAATTTGCAACGATAAGAACGAAGGACAATCACATCATCATCCTCAAAGAATCTCGATAAACTATCATCACACAAGAAATCCCAATTTGCAACCAGCAGGACGCAAAAGAAGGAAACACAAACACATCGTATCATCAAAGAACATAGATAAACTATCATCACATGAATAATCACACAAGAAATCCCAATTTGCAACCAGCAGGACGATAACAAGGAAACACAAACACATCCTATCATCAAACAAGAAATCCAATTTGCAAAAAACATGACGCTAAAGAAGGAAGCACAATCACATCCTATCATCTAAATGGGCATTTCTGGATAAACTACCGGAGGAAGAAAGACAAGCTCTGAATCATCATTGAAGAAAAAAAGAAAAAAAAAAACTAGTTTTGAAGTTTGTACCTGCTGTTTAAGGTCGTAAGGGTCAGCACCTTTGTCCTTCATATCAGCAGTCTTAGCAGCTTCTCTCTCAACCTCTTTCTCATAAGAGTGAAGCTCTTTCACAATCCTTTTACATGTTGATGTTTGTATCTTCAAGTTCCTTATCGTTGCCATTTGATTCCTGCCCAGAAATATAAAAAAAAAACCCCCAAAATATTAGGGCTGCTCACAATTCAGAAGCAACGGTCACATAACTAGTTTGCGATTCCTTAATTTGATTTTCCAATCTGAAATTTAAAGTTACAATGCATCTACGAGCCGTGTAATGCAATAGATCGGGAAGGATGAGATTTAGCGATCTCTTTACTTGCTTCCGATCTATTTTGTGATCGTCATAAATCATCGATTGAAATCAAAAGGAAACCACTACACGGTACAGAAAGAGAGAAATGGCGTTTAGAAACGAACCAGACGACGGTCGAAGAAGAAGCTTTGCTTCCGATAAGAAACAAAACACTCGCGAGTTTACGGCGAAGGCGACTCCTACCACTTTCACTTTCCCTTTCCCTTTCCCTTTTATTTTACTTTTTTCTTTCGCTTCCAATTTTTATTTAAATAATTAACACAAACTGATTAACGTTTTAACTTTTAACTTTTTAACCTCTCTATTGAAAGTTGCAACAATGGTTTTAGATCAAGTTTCAAAAATCATACAAACTACACCAAGTGAAGAATTAACATTTTAAAGCCACCCAAATTTCTAGATACGACCGAATCCAAAATATAAAATACCACTTAAACTTACACTAATCTATTTTTTTTTAGCTAATGTATTGTCTAACTAAATGTTACTACCATTTAAGTGATTTTTTAGATTGAACAAATTAGTCGTTGTAGTTAACAGATCCAGAGAATCCGATTTTATTTATAACACTTTGATGAATTGATATCCCTTAATATTTGTAATATAAGAAATGTTGATTGTGTGTTACTTTGTCTCAAATAATTTAATACAGATTTGCTTAGATATGTTGATTGTGTGTTACTTTTGTCTTCGATGCATCACGCATGTGTGTTGTTTATGTTCAAGTACACTATATTAAAAATGTTGATATAATATTTGTATAGTTAAAGGTCGTTAGAAAGTTGAAACGTTAGTCATGAAATTTATTTGATATATATAATATGTATGAAACTAAAGAGCACATCTACTCCTAAACAAGATTGTAACAATGATTATAAAACTCGGAAGGTTTTGAACATGGAACCGTGGTCTGCATCTGCAACATCTGGAAACAGTGGTCCTCTTTTACATCTTCACAGAAAGTAAAAAAAAAAAAACTCATCAAAGGCTTTTATAAATCTCTCTGTCTTTCTTCTTTGATCAAAACTCAGTTTCTGTATCAGTGTGGTGGTCCTCTCTATCTCCAGCGACTATGCTCTTCAGTCTTCACACATACATACACTCCGTACGTACTTGTTGGGTTTTCAAAATTGTTGTTCCTGTCGCTTCGCCGTTGGCTTTTTCTGGTTTCGTTATAGCTGTCTTTACCGCCATTTTCAACTTTGTATTTTCAAAAACATTCAAAGGATAATGGCGCGAACCATCGAAGAATCTTTCGTTTAGTAGTTTTATAGATCGTTTCATAATAATCACTTGCTTAGTGATGTTGAGTTCTGTCTCTTGAGAGTCATCACAGATGCTTCCACGCCCATAGTGATCATGTTTGAATTAAAACGACAATATGATAACGACTTTTTTTTTAATTATTATTATTTGGTTCCACTGATAAAGAAAGAAAAACAAATACATTAAAACTGAGCTTGAAAAGAGAATCTCCACAGTTACATCTAATTAACTTCTTATGAACATCATCAAACATCAACTACAATTTCACAAGATACGATACTAGTTTTACAAAGAAGTTAACTAATATTATATAAGAGGGGGGTTTTTTTTTTTTGTACTTAGTTTTTTGTGAGTTGACGCCAGATTTGTTCGAAAACTTGGATGATTAGATCATGATACTCTTTGTGATTCAAGGTAAGGTAACAAGCAAGAAGATCCTCCAAGTCTTTTGAAGCTCTGATGTTGTTCTCTTCTATCATCTCCACCATTGATTCTCTGAAATCTTTCTTTGGATCAACGGAACGCTTCATCACTGCGAAACTCTCAAGAACTACTTGTTTGTTCTCTGATCTCGACGTGCTTCTACGCGAACCTGAGAGTTGAATTCTTGGTGAATTTACTCTTCTGAGGTTTATCCCTGCAGAGGATTTTCTTCCACTTGAAACTTGCTTCTGGTATTTCTTCTCGTCTCTACATGCATCTTCTCCTATCTCTCTGTTAATCTTCACCGAAAGATGGATTTTCTGTGGTTTCTTCTTTAGATTACTTGCGGGACAAGCTTTCTCCATAGAATCAAACTCTTTGACCTTGTGCTTGGTGGAAGCTCTGTTCTTTGAGTCGGTCTTGAAGTTGGAAGAGTTAACGAACTCATCTTCATCATCCTCCTCATAGAAACTATACACAAAAGACTCAGGGGAGCTTTCAAGTGCTGGAAACAAGTAGTGAGAGGAATCTTGACCGTTGATCTTGCTCTTGTTAGGTGCAAAAGGAGGAGTGACTGGTTTAAGAGATGGCTTGTAAAGTGTCTTTCTTTTACTCATCCTTTTTGTGTGAAGAGAATTTCTTGGTGAGTTATGGTGAGGATTGTTAACTACAAAGCTGTGGGAGAAATGAGAGGTTGAAGACTGATGAGGAAGAGAATCTGAGGAGGGTTTCTTCTTGTTACAAGTGTTTGAGGAAGAAGAAGAAGAAGAAGAAAAAGGTTTGTTTTTGGGTTTAGACTGTTTAGTCATATCTTTGAGCTTGTGAAACCATGCATTTGGGAAAATCTCTGAAACTCTGAACTTGTAATTCCCCATCACATCTCTCACTCTTCACAAGATTTTCTGATGTTCTCTTGTAAAAAGCAACTGTGTTTTGTTTCCTTAGATAAAAGAAAAGCAGAAGAAGCAGAGTCTCTATGTGACAGATAAAGAAGCTAAGATAAGAATGTATGTAGTGAGAAAGTTAGGGGTCCCATTTCAGAAAAAAAAAGCTTAAAGAATGACTTTTGTTTGTATCATCATCACCAGCATCAGCATGAACGATTTGAAACATCACATTTACACGCTTTTAATGATTAGTATAACATATCTATGGTTTTACAACAAAATAACGAAGAAAACCATACATGGAAAAAAAAAAAAAAATTTAAAAATCTAAAAATCTATGAAAAACTTACGTTACCAAGCGTGATTTTTTATGTTCTGTAGCAACATCAGTTTTAGGGAATCCACTAGAAAGTTTTTCTTTTGAAGTAAATTATGACCAAATGGCAATGGCAAACAAAAAAAAACGAAGTTTTTCTTTTTTAAATAAGCTTTTGACTAACAACGTTAAAACGGTCGCACCATTTGCAGCCTTAGTCTCAAATGGACAACTCATAATTTATTATAGACACAGATAATTCAAAATTTAGCTAAAACTTTTACATATCTTGGTTAGTACACATGATAATGAAATTCTTTACTTTCCTTTCGATGCTTTTTTGAATTTGGTAAAGTCTGAACTATCTTATGTTTTTAGGTTGGTCTTTTGTCGAACTACATGTATAATTAAGGTCATACAGAGAAGCAAATGATGAGATCAGAATAATCAATAAAGTTTCCATTTTCCATTTGTAAATCTTTGAATAAATGGAGTAGGTTTTGAGTTGTAATGATGATGTTGAGAAAATATTGGTCCAATATGTCCACTAACGCCGAACACCTTTGGGGCACCCTTTTTCTCTTTACATTCCCTTTCCACATCAAACATTTTTGTCAACTACCTTTTTTTTTTCTTCAACAAAGAAAAGATGATAATCCAAATTAAAATAGTTTCCATAATCCTTACTTTAAACAGGCACACAAGTGATTAGTGACAGTGAGAGATATGGATCTGAAAGAGGAACTAAATCAGACTTAATATCTTGGTGGTGATTGCTTGGTAACACTGTCTACGTACGTCACTCACATACACAAACCAAGATATAAAGTGAATTCCAACAGCAGAAATATATGCAACACAATAACACTGTTTACGTCACTCACACACACAAACCAATAATACAAAAAAGCACACCTAAATGATAAGATCCCAAGTTTCAGAGAGAGTATCCAAGTAAAGTTCACTGTCTTTATAAGCGTCGACGAGATCCCGCTCGATGTACATAAGATATATGTCACAAAGTTGTTCCTCTTCCGTTGCTGCTTTACGGTCATCCTGTATGACACACAGACACACACAAAATGAATAAATAAAAACAAGAGAAAGAATGATTTATCTAATATTTACCTTAGGCATTATGCATTTGATATGAAACACGTCGTCGCAGTGCTTGCAGCGGTAAATATAATCAGAGCATTCTGATCCACAGAGAGAACAACTTTTCTTATTGTCAGTATTATCATATTGCACGACAGAATGTTGATGTTGCTGGCTCTTCACATTGGTTGCCATCCCAACACACTCTACATGGGCGTTAAAGTTACAATCAACACAGCCGTAGAAGGAGACACCACATGGTTTAGCACAAACACTGCAGGCTTGTGTCAACCGTAAGTCTTCCTTCCAAAAATTATAAAGGTAGTGGATGTGAAACTTGACCGTTGTTGATATACCCACAGCTTTGATGCATTCGATGTGGAAACTGATATTGCAATTAGAAATATATTGACAAGTATACCCATGCTTTGGAATATTCATCTTGCAGACAATGCAGTTGGCTGCACTTGTAGCTTTAACTTTAAGCATGTGATTCGAATGAAGTGGATGATTAAATAGTGGCCTTCTCCAGAGTTGAATACATCTATAATGATATATCTCTCCACAGGTCATACATGATAGTGCTTTTCCATAGAGCTTCTCAAAACAAATAGCACAATCAGTCATATACGACCTTGATACGATGACTTGAACTATCTCGTGGTTGCCCTTAATGCAACAACTTCCTCTCCATTCTCCGATGACTTTTTTCCCTAACATCCCAAGAGAATGTTTGCCTCTCAAGGCGCATTTGATGTCAATGATAAAATTGCATATTTGACAGAAGAGATTGAACCCTCCTACTTCATATGATCTGCAGCTGTTACAGTGCATTGACTCCCATGTAGGGGGCCTAGGCAGGAGTGTTAAAGGATGTTCCCAGTGAAGAAGCCGATTTTTTGATGGTTGTCCCAGCTCTGCACACAAATGATGTGTCTGGAATCTGCATGATGTGCATTTACATGGGTTACCAAGTATTTTTTCTGTACATATGTTGCACTCTTCTTTTTCGTCTAGCTCCCCCATGTGGATCGGTCTCAGCACATGAACATGCACCAGATCATTAACCTGCACGTATACGTAATATAGGTATGGATAGGGAAGGCTGTTCTAAAAGAAAAGAATGCAAGAAAGTGTAAAGACTATAACACACACCAGAAGTTTGGTTTCCAATATGTTCGTTTCGCCGTCTTCTTGTTCTTGGTCTTGATTAATTTCTCTTTCGACGTCTTCACCACATAAATATAAATCTTTCAAATACAGAGGCGACGGCTATTCCTGTTGTTTATAAATAACCATCATCATTATTAGGAAAAAAAAAATCACATTAAAAGCACCTCCTTTACTTACAGAACTAGGAGATTGGCTCGCCCGCACATGCGGGCATGAACAGTTTTAAAAATATAATTACTTAAATATAATATTTAAATCCATTTCAAATATTTTATTTTTTGTAGTATATGAAACTCAAGGTCAGTGTTGAATTATAAGGCTTTAAATTTAGTAGTAAAATATGATATAATTTTAACTAAACATTTTGTTATAACAAAATGTCTATTTATATTTTGAGACAGACCTAAAAATAATAATTAAATTTAGAAAACATAAAAGTTGTATTTTTTCATAATTGGGCTTTGTTAAACTTAACTGCTATGTTACGGGGTCAAATGGGTATCTGGTTACCTGTTTCGGATTTGCGGATCAAGCAATCATACCTGCAAATTTTATCTTCTTTGCCTTTTTTTTTGAACAAACGTTTTTCATCTTCTTTGTCTTCCTATAATCTTTCTATTTCACTTTCTTCCTTCAATTTTTAAAAACAATTTTTAGGAACGGTACTAATACCTTCTCTGAATCTTCCTTCTTCTACGATATGAATCCTCCTCTTTGTCAGATTTACTTTGCGTGTTCGTTGATGGAAAAGCGATAATTAGTTCTTATAATTAGTTGCTGTTATTGGATCTGCGTATTACCTGAAAGCGACCTCGTTTGAATAGAGAGTAATAGTCATGAGTTCTGTATTTCAAGTAAAACCATATGCTACTTCTTGTTAGAGATTTATAAATCGTATTCTTATGTTAGAAATCTGAAATTGACTGCGTAATTATATAAACTCCTATTTCAATTTCGATGTTTGCTAGTCACCCTCGTAGAATTTTTCTAGGAATTAGGCTTTTTTTATATGTGTTACTGTTTATGAATCTTGAGAATTGGTTTATAATTGGGTGAAATGATCATAAGCTGCAACTTCTTTTTACTGGCAAAAATGATGGTTTCCCCTTTATAATGGAAAAGTGTTCTTTCTTTGTGTTGCCTTCGTTTGAATTTCATCTGCGTTGTGGTCTTTTGAGTCTGTTGAAATTTAGTTGACATTAGGTATTGGCTTATGCTAAATACATATTTGTTTATATGAAAAAACTAATACTACTAGGTTCATAAACGATTGTCTATCTATCTCGAAAGAAATCTAGAACAGTATACCAAAATCTAAGTAAGAACCAGACGTATCCTGGAGATTTATTGAATTGATCTCATTATTCTCCCAAATCCCTAAGCCTTCCCTTTAAGCTGTTCTCCTTTTCTAAGGTGTGTGTACCATATACTTTACTGTTTTGGGTCTATCTAATTTATGAGATTCAATGCAACATGTGGTCACTTCATTAGTGTAGCCTTTTCACAATTCTCATATCATGATTTGAAAAAATCATTAATTAGTACTTTCATATTCCACAACACTCAAAATCTCAGCCAATATATTCAAGAAACTGATGTTGATTCCAGTATGATCATTTCAGTATAAACGGGATATATGATCATTTCAATATATAATAGTAGAAGACATAAGAACCTATGGGAGAGTCTGTTAAATAGTTTGGTCAGTGTTTCCATTTCTCTGTTTCTTCTCGATCATAGAGTCTACAAATTTTTCTTTTTAGTAAACTTAATTTTCTTTCATTGTTTGAAATCTAATAATTATTCTCTTGAAAGCTTCATCTTCATTTTTATTCTTTTCTTACTTTGTCTATTTTCTTGATCGGAATGTTATCGCCTTTCTTGTTCCAATTTATATTAATAATTAAATATTTTATGTTTTTCTCTTTTCATAAAACAATTATTTGAACTAAAATAAATTAAAAACAGAAATATTTTTTGCCATGTCATAATCTACATGTGCTTGCATATGTCAAGTCACAATTACATCATCATTACACATCATCATTTTTTTGTCACATTTAATTAGGTTAAATTGATGTTTTTAACCAATAAAATTAAAACAAATAATTATAATTCATTAAACTACATTGTCAATTAATAGGTAGGAGATATCTCATCAGATATTTTATCAATATTTTTATTTTAAATTTATTTTAAAATAGGAAAAAAATGGAACCATTAACAAGAAGACAAATGTCTTTTTTTAAGTCTCATGCCCATCAATAAAATATCTCTCTAATGTATCTAAACCAAAGCATATTGTTATTTTTAAATTTAATTACTAATTTTGTTAAATTGTTTGAACCTCTGATTAATAAACAGGTTTCTCTCTCATCTATAAGAGCATGATTAATGGAGAGATGGGAAAGAACTCTTAAATAAAAAAGAAAAGAAAAAAAAATATGAGGTGGTATCTGTTTTTCTGTAAATCGATTTTAATAGTAGAAGCTGTAGAGACGATTCTATACAGCTTTTGGACAGATGTCCTATTATTATATCTTATGCTTTCTTTTTTTTTGAAATTTATTTTTCTCTTTTCTCTTTTACTATTAAAATATAATTAGGAGCCTCCAATCAAAAGATATGCGTTACTCATGCTCTAAGAATATCTAAGAACACTTGTACATTGCTTGAAATATCTTCAATCATATCTAATATATTAAATACTAATATAATTTCTTTAATAGTTTTGATTTTTTAAACCACTTGAATAAAAACATGTGTCATCAAAATTTCTTAGAGTATCTAAGAGTTTCTCATTAAAAAAATGTATCTCTCTTTCTTTCACATATTTTTTTTCCTTTTTAAATTATTGAGATACCCAATAAAAATATACCAATGGAAATGCTCTCCATCGTTAAGTATCTCAACTAAAGTATTAATGATATAATTTAAATTTAATATAAAAAGAATGAGGAAATGAAATAAAGACATTCTTAAAGTCTATTAAAGAAGAGAAGTCTCTCACTTTTTTTTATTTTTTATTGTTTCTAATTTCTTATTGTAAGATATTTATTTAAGATATCAGGGATAAGCTGCTCTAAAAATACTTCAAACAGAAATATATATAAAAGCAATATATAAAATTAAAATAATAATACGAAAAAAAAAAAAGAGAATTAGAGACCTATCTCTTTGTGTTTCTAGAATATTCTAGATATATGTGGTTTCTTGTCATTGATTTACTTTTTTATTATCTAAAGTTTAATTAAATTTTAAATTATATATATAATATATATAGTCATACGGTTCTATCATTGGAGATCTTCGAAGATCTCTTATTTGAGATACTCATTTCATTCTCTCTTCTTTTTGTATTATTTTATCAATTTAAATTGTTGAAATATTCTCTAAAATACATCCAATAGAGATATTTTAAGAGCGTCTCCATTGATGAGATACCATTTTCAATTTTTCATAAATATAATATTAAAAATAAGTTTAGTTGTATAATTTAATTTTGATTTCTATATATAAATTAAATCAATCAAGACAAATGTTATATGAATATCTCAAAATATCTTAAAGTCCTAATTTGAAATATTCTATTTATTTTCTCTTTTCTTTTTTCTTACTCATATAAGAAAATTTATATTTATTAATTTTGTGAGATAGTCATTACTCACATTAAGATATTCTTAATATACTCACTTTGAGATTTTAAAATAAATAAATTGATATTTCATTTTAAATAGATTAATAGCTTTATCATTTATTAACAAAAATTAATAAAAAGTACATAAATGATTTTAAAAAATCATTTTTTATATAAAAAAAACTAAAAACTCAGTCTCTAGAAATAAAAGTACTGTATTAATTACCTCGCGTAGGATGCATCCAATGTGACCAAGAAAATCACACTCTTCGCAAGAGTAAGCATGCTGTCCTGCTCCTGCATGTACCATTGTCTCGCACACGCCACAATACTCAAAGCACTCGTCATTTGCTAAGAATATTTTGCCCACAAGTGGATGAGTGTGAAAAGATTTCTTGACGAGAGACTTGGGTATCCCAAGACACTCGAAATGAAACTTAAAATCACATTCCACGCAGTGATAATAGGAATCGACAAAAATGGCCTTAGTGTTCATGCATATCTGACAAGGGCTTCTTTTGTCAATGGTAAAACGAGCACCATCAGCTACAAAAAAAAGTCTGTGCTTATGAGACTTGTGCATGAGACCTCGTAACAAGGAATCTGCACACCTTAGATGGAGGTCAAATCTGCATTTTAAGCAGCTATATGGGACACCCAAGATTATCAAATGGCACGCATTACAACGTCTTTGAACATGACATGTTCGTTGGTAACTAAGGCGTCGGAGAGGATGTGCTGGATGCACGGGATGTTGAGTCTCTGTCGGGAGATCAAAGCACTTGTGGTGAACGAACGAGTAACAATACACGCATCCGTAGCATATGGAGGAGGGAGATACGGGAAGCTCACATAGAAGGCAAGAGCCTTTGGCATCTGATCCTGGCCTACACCTCCTAAGCAAGTGGCAATGGCTGTCATGAAGCAATTCTTCAACATCCCAAGCGTCAATGATGTTCTCGTAGAGCGCACAACACAGATCCAAATAGATCTCACATGTTTTGCACTTGTAGAAAGAGCCAGAAGACATGCTCCCACACCCGGAGCAAATGATGTATTTAGGTTTCCGATCATATTTTAGTAGACAAAACTCTAGAGGGTGCTTAGGGTGGAAATCGTGAGATACTTTCTCCGGCAGTTTGGAACAAGATTTACATATATCGAAATTACAAGACTTACAGGCTAACTCGATAGGCTCATCTTTGTAGCATATGTTGCAGACGCTGTCTGCGACGATCTCCGGAGAAGTCAAATCGCATTTATGGGAGAAATGCTTAAGTTTTTGCATGGCCATGGAAACAAGAACTTGACAAGAAAAGAAGAAAAAAAAAACTGAAGATTGGATCCAAAAGAAGCAAAAACACTGAAGAAAAACAAAATAGCTAGCTGAGCTATGAACTTGATTAACCACTTATATTTTCATCCAGGAACTCCATAATTTAGAGCTACTAAAAATCCTAGCAGAGATCTCGAGATGTGAAGAGATTTGAAACGAGGGGTAGAGATTAGAAGCCTTTGTGCTCGTCTCGTGCTTTGCGAAAAGGCGTGTGGTGGGTGTTCATGCTTTGTGAATTATTTGCGATAAACACACAAAGTCAAAAAGAGAACATAGCAGCACACTGCTTTTCTTTCCTTTTTCATTTTGTAAATTTGTTTCTTTTAGTTGCTTTCGTTTATGGACCATTTAAGGGCTTTACTGAAAGTCTGAAGCCCATATGTAAGGAGACTATATGTGATCTTAACTATGGAGGACTAGTTTGTTCATGTAACAAGAAGAACTTATAAATCTGATGAACTTCAGAGAACCGTTTGCATTTTATGCGGAGTCCTAATTATCTTTATATATAGAATTGACATGTACGTGCTAAGGAAAGATTTAAGAGTTTGATATTTTATGGGCAATTTTCACAATTACACTGAAAATAAGTTTTCAGGACAAATATAACAGATAAGCTAAAAACATTATTGCCCTAACATTTTTCATTTGAGTTTTCTGATTTTACTCTTTAGGAAAATCTTCCTAAATATTTTTTTCTGTTAATATTTCGTGATTTTTTAGGAAGGTCTTCCAAATACTAGAATTTAACATCGTTTCATATGATTTAAGAAAGATTTCCTAAATTTTTTAAAATTTTTTAAATTGTGGAAGAGCTTTCTGAATTATGAAAGGTTTTATGAATTGTGAAAGGTTTCCTGAATTGTGGAAAGGCTTCCTGAAAGGGTTTCCTAGATTTGAGTTGTATAAATTAAGAAAAAAAATCAATTATACGATTTACGAAGACATTCATAAATACATGTAATGACTTCATTTATTTATATATTGTAGAAAAGTCTTCTTTAAACTTTAGAGTATCATCCTAAATTTACTTTCATCTCCTTCATCACCTATACGACATCCAAACCCTAATTTCCGTCGATTTTCTTTTTTTCCACCATTGTTGTTGTTTTAGCTCGGATTTCTTGAGCTTTTCACTCAATTATATCAGATCTATCTTCTACTATATGATTTTGAGTTTTAAATCCTGAAATCACTTTTCCATAAAAAAACTCCAAAGATCTAAAAGATTCACAATCACAAATCACAATCAAACGAAAAGAGTCATCCTAAACAAAACAAATGATTCGAATTTCAGATCAGTCTTGGCCATTGATACATTTGTTTAATTTTTTTTCTTCTTTGATTAACTAATGTTTTATCTAACTAAGATTAATATGGTCAAATCTTTAGTAAAAAATGTTATGGAAGGAATTTTTTAGTATATTAGTGTATATATGAAACAAAAACTTAGATTATGTGTATCCGAGAAAATTTCTCATATTTTATTTGCTTTAGGTCAATGTGTGTATACGATATAAGTATTTTCAACTTTAAGTATGGAATAATAATAAAAAATCGGATATAAATAACCTGTACATCTAAATTCGATTACCGACCTAACAAAACAAAACATCTAAAAGTTCCATGAAACTGTAACTCATTTTTAAAGTTGATCCATTTTCAATAGATATGGGACCGGTTTATATCCAACATATGCGGTTTGCATTGACCCACCAATAAAGCAACGACCTTTTTAAAATATACAAAACCAAAACCAATTTTGAGCATCTTGGATTTTGTTCATAATCAAGAGCCACCAAACACTTAAAGGGTGTACTAAAACTAAAATTTTAAAGAATTTGAAAAGATTTGAGTTTTAATAAAATTTTAGATAATAATTATGTGGATTAGAAAAGTTGATATGATTTGATATTAAAATTATATGAAATCTCACCTAAAATAATGGGATTTGGGTTTATATATTTTTAACTAACAAACTCCACCAAATCATTTAAAAGTACTTAATATTTTTTAAAATACACTATTTAAAATATTTCCAATAAGAGTGAATTTGATTTAGTTTTTATTAATTGTTGATTGAATAACATGGATTTTTAATGATTTTAATTACTTTACATAAATTTCATGTTAATAACATCAATTTTGGTAACAAAGAAATCGTTAATTCAATAACAAAGATTTTTAAAACAACTACCAAATCTTCTAAAATTCTTAATCAAGTACATCCCCATATAATATAAAAATCATTTATTCCCCCACCGTTTTTTAAACTTCATGGGACTCCACCATCATAACATTCACACCCAAAGACGTGAACCCCACGCAACACAACCTAAACCTCTCCAATCTTAGTTATACTCACCCAAACAAAACAAAAATCCCAAAGAGGATCACCACACCACAACAACAACAACAACAAAAATAAAGATTCAAGACAATGAGAGTGAGAACAACTTTGATTAACTTCAAATCAAAGCTTTCTAAATCATGCAACAGATTCGTCTCTCTCTTCCGCTTCAGAGTTAAAAGACCTGTCTTTATTAGACCTCTTCGTCGTGCTCGTCATGGCAATGTCAAACCTAGACAACATAATCATCATCCCAAGAAGCCAATCTGTTCTTCCTCTTTGCTGTCTTGTCTCTGTTTCCTCAGTACTAATAAAGACCAGGAGATGAGCGAGACCACACCTAGAAGTTCCTCTTGTAAGACAATTTTTTTCCACTATTTTCGAATCTAAAATGCTCTATTATAAGCTTTTTCTATAATATGTTCCTTCTCCAATTACATTTGCAGTTAGTGTGAAGGATGATGATTCTTTGAAGTTTATGCATTCGCCTCTTACACCAGCAGCAGCCAAGAAGCTGTTCACTTCACCAATCACGACGCCTGTTTACACAGGGAGGACCAAGAAATCGCTGAGCTCAAGAGATACATTCGAAGACAATGCTGTGGAAGATGCTTGCAGAAGCTTTGAGAACTATCTGATATATCTGATTGTTGAAGAAGGGAAAATGGAAGACGTAATGGACATAGAGGAGCTTCTCTTCTGTTGGAAGAATCTTAAGAGCCCTGTCTTCATTGAACTTGTCTCCAGATTCTATGGAGAGCTCTGCAGAGACCTGTTTACAGGTGAATGAACAGATTACAAAAAATGATCAAATCAAAAAAAAAGTTTTTATCTTTCTTTTTCAACAAACAATTGGCAATCATTGAACACACCATCTTAAGAATTTTTAAGTTCAAAGTGGAAACTGCAAATGTGTGAAGAGTATAAAGATTGTATTTTTTTCTGGGTTTTACATAAAGAAGAAACTTGGATTTATTAACTATAGACCAAAAACTTGAATGTGAACAAAGATACAATACTTGGAGACAAGTGATTTTCTTTACCTACAAAACTTTAAGAAAAGCAGAGACCTTTACCTGAAACTTTCTTTTAGTTTACGAAAGATAAACCTGAGATTTAATCACTGAATCTCCAATCTTAAAACCAGGCATTGTGATGAACTCAACACTTAAGTCGCCTTGTCTTTCTCCTTTTTCATCAACCACTACAGATTCCATGTAGACTCCTGAGAACTTGGTTCCTCTTCTGACCACAAAGATCTCTCCTTTTAGATCCAAAGAAGCTGCAAACGATCCAAGAATCCATACCCACTTTGCCATTTTCGCAAAGATTCTATAAAACATCGTTCTTGGATGCTTACCGAGCAAAACTAGACCTCTCATATCCAAATTCCCAAAGAAGGAAGCCTCCATTGAAGGATGAACAACTAAAAGATACTTCTCACCGCAGAATCTTGAGAACGCAGAATCTGGAAACGCTGTTAACGCGTCCAATACATCATCGAAACTCATTAGCTCCGTCACATCACAAGGATTAAGCTTCATCCCGTGAAACATCCTTCGAACAATGTATGACTCAAAAGCAAACTTCTTATCTGAGTTTTTAGCAAATCTTACATTTCCAACAATAGATTCCACTGCTTTGTCCAAATTCCAATCTGTAGCTTTCATCAGAGTGATTAATGGCTTCGCAAAGTCGTGGATGGACTTGGAAGCAGCTCGAAACGCGAATTCAAAAGAAGAAACACTCACAATCCTCTCCTCGAGTTTCCTATTCTCTGCAACCAAACAGTCTAGTTTCTCCTTCAGAGAGTGAATCTCACTCTCCTTTGCTTTCACTTCCGCCTTGAGTTTCCCCAAATGCTTCTCATTCACTTTGATCTCATCTCTCAGTCGATCCAAACAAGAAGCAGCATCAAGCTCGGTCTTGGCCTGGAGCTGCTTCGTTTTGAGGTAGAGACGCTTGATTCTTTGCAAGGCTTCGAACTGAGAGACGACGTGGTTGTCTGCTTCTATGATCTTGTCTGGAGCATAAGGCAAATGAGCTTGTTGAAACTCAAGATAAGCGAGCTTAAGCGCCGAAACAACGTCGAACAGCTTCGCAATCTCATCATCATCCCAACGGAAATTTCGAATCTTTCTCGAGGGTTTGTAACTGATATCCTCCAAGATTTCTACTTCATCACAAGTTTCGTTCGAATTCGGCTTCTGGTCAAGGAACACACCAATGGATCTAAATTTGCAGACTTTAGCGAACCTGGAGATGATCTCCGACAGATTCGAGGGACTCGATGATTTAACGGCGGCATTCTCCATGAATCCAAATAGAAATCCTAATCTAGCAGCAAAAAAAAAGAAGAAGCAACAAGCTTGTTACAGAAATGATTCAGATAAAGAAAAACCCAAAAGTTTTAAAACAAAAAGTGTTGTTAATGGTTTTTGTTTTTTTATCAATTAAACAAGACGACAAAGCCAATTTTGAGATTTTCGATTTTTAGCAATTAAAGTCATAGCAGGAGACTGAAGATGCAGAGATGACCAGTTACAGAGACTGTAGAATGTCAAAATCAACAAAAGCATTCATTGGTTTTTACAATTCATCTTGTTCCAAGTGTAAAAGCTAAGAAGAAACAACCCAGAAGAACAGAACATAGAGATTTATAAAAGAAAAATCATGATGAACAACAACAACAACAATAATAATACTACAGCTAACATTTAAACGATAGAGACAAGTAAAACAGAATCACCTGTTTGTTTTTGTACACTAGTAGCAGCCAAAGCAAAGCTAAGCACGAGGAAAGCCAAAGTTCGAGCCTTTTGTTCTTCTTTCCCTCTCTCTCTCTCTCTCTCTCTGCCTCACACAAAATGCTTGTTGTTTAACATTGGAACGAGGTTCATTATATTCTTCTTTTTTAGATCTTGCTCCTAATTAAGAAGACGAAATAAAACAAGAATTTTTTTTTAAAAATAGCCTCGTTAATGGTAATGATTCTGGGGTTCCTAAACCATAAATTGACTATAATTGGCGTTTAGTTCATTCTTCATTTTTTTTAATTCTAAAAATCGATAACCGAGCGTGTTTGGAAGATCTTCAACAGTTTTCAAATTTTTTAATTTATTTTATTGTATTTTGAATAAATCATGGGAATCCAAAGAGAACACTCAGGAATCTCCACAGGCGCATCGTCGCGGAGAAACAAAACCTTTGTCTCTCATTTTATTGTTTAATACTAATAATAATTGAATATTTAATTAAACTTCTTGTTTCATGCTTCTTCAAATATTCAACCTTTTAATGGAAAGAGAAAGGCAAAGTACCAAAAAGAGGTTAAAGCTGATTTGCACACGAGTTTGTTTATCTCTTCTGTTCGTATTGTCTTTAGCTCTGAAACTGAGAACAAAAGTGTTTGTCCCAAGAAAAACGTTAGGCATATAGTTTACTGGGCCTCGTTTAAGGCCCTTTTATTCTTCTTATCTATTGGGCCATTTCCGGCCCTTTATAAAATTTGCATGAGAAAGAAATGATGAAGCACGTGACGTGAAAATGCCTGGGGGAGGCAGCAACATGTCTGCTTGTTAATGAAAATGTAGAGTTGTGTTTTGCACTTGCAAATGTTACGTTTTTTTTTTTTTTTTGAATAACAGCAAATGTTACGTTGCAAAGAGGAATTTAATTTCGTAAATGATAGAAATTCGTTTGTTTAATAGTGGAATCAAATGATAGAACAGTGAAACAAATTCAGTTTCGTAATGCTATATAATTCATTTGATTTAATATTTTACCACACAGTTTCAGTAGAAGGATGCTTTCGTGTTAAGAAACGCAATTATGAAAATGTTTTAGTAATTCATCCATGTAATCACACACGAATACCAATAACAAACCCGAGCGAAGGAAGATTTGTAATCAATACTAGGCTATTAGCTAGACTCTTTGTATATCTTAAATTCCTGATAGTATTTAATTAGTATATACTTTGAATTCTATCTTGATATTGAAGAAGAAGAAGAAGAAAAAGAGGAAGTGGTCCAAAAGAGTGAAAACACACAAGGCATGAATTCAAAACACTCGTGCATCTCTTGTCTCTTTCTTCTTACTTTTGGCTTTCCTCCATCTGCCATACTCCATCGTCTCTTTTTCTCTCCTCGGACCTGAATTGATCAGTATTCATCAGTCAGATTTACTTACACTTTTGTAAATATACATAGTGTGATATAATATAAGAGAGCGTATCTAGATATCATATTAGATCTTCTCTAGATATCAAATGACATATCAGATAGGAAAAAGGCTATCTACTGTCAAGATACATATGTAGCTTATAAAACAGGTGTTGATGATGGAACTATATAAATAATTATGGTGAAATCCAGCAAAGTTTATATATATATATATATGGTGAATAAAGGATCGTAATTTATTTTGGAGAATTCTTTAAGATTGGTTGACAGGGCAAAATTAATTTGATATGGCAAAATAAATAAATTTCAAACTAATTAGTTAGCATAAATATCATCTATGAAGTTTTAATAACCAGCTTCTTTGCTTTGGCGTTCAGATTTTTAGAGCTGTAGGAATATAATAACAGTTTAGTACATGTGTTTTCTAAACAAATTAATCTCCATATATTATAACGTGAAACGAATATGTATAGGCTTAGCGTGGTGAGCTAGCCAACTCGGAGTCATAGAATTTACATGAAAAAACTGAATTCGCGAATACGAACTTGTTTTGCAAAATAATCGATATTCAAAAGACGAGAGATAAGAAAAATAGAACGAAGAAAAATATTTAATTTAGATTAAAATGAGTGAGATTCTTGAAGCTCCAAAGCAAAGGTTGGCCATTCCTTATCATCTTCAATTATTTTCACCACTTGAAAGCAATCCTTTTGGAATTATTTCAGTCAAACCCTGTTGAACAGCATGCTTTTTATTTTATTAAACTTTAAAGTTTCTGTATCAATGTTTTCTTGCTTTTGAATATTTTAAAGTCTTGTTATCGAATTTTAACTATATAACTATACAAATCCAAAATGTTTTTTTCTGTCTTCTCCAAAATTATTGAAAACTCTTTTTTATATCTCCAAAAATTTAACCATATACTTTTATGTGGAGATATATAACTATGTTGTCTGCGTTTTAATATATTTTTGAGCTTACAAAAATTTGAATTAATAAAAGAATAAAATTTCATTGACTCGTTGGATCCATCGCCATTCGGCCCACACACAGACTACCAACTCCCTATCCTGCCTGAATCCTCCTCCACCGGGACCTGTCATTTTTTTATTTAAAAGTTTTGAATTTTTTCAATAAAAATTGTTTTAAATCTGTCTCAAATTTAGTGACAAATCTTATTTGGACCTTTCTGGAATTTCGATGTTTTTGTTTAGCTACGGAGGTTTTGTGATAGAAAATTTCGTCTCCAAGTCTTGTCTTCTGTGGTAATAAAATAAGTAGCAATTTAAATATAATCTTTTTTAACTAATTCATTTTCTAACATTCTATTCTAAATACTAAAAAGAACTACTAAAGAAGCGTTGATCGATTAAACAAATTATTTCACTCGTTATTACGAAATACTATAGTTATTGTTTTTTTTTTTTGTTAGAGGGAAATCTATAGTTGTTATTTGTTAAGTTATGCCTCCTGCAAATGCCTGCGATTTGAGATCGAACACGCCACCTTCTGATTTCTGAATGTGCCAATTTTTCTTATATGCGGGGCACACATATATTTTGTTTTTCTTGACGTTATGCTTTTTGAAACACATTTTTGAAACATATTTTTGAATGAATGCGTGATCATTCAGATCCTAAGACCGATATATGTGAACTTTTCATTTTATTGGGCAAAGAAAAAATAGTGTGTTTCTTTCTGCATGATTCTTATTTCTTGACATCTTTGAATCATACATAATAGATACGAAACAATGAAAGTCCCATCTATCTCAATCAAGAAACAAAATGAAATTTCAATAACACTAACATGGTAAAATGAAAAAAAAGGATACAGTGTGTCAGATGTTTGTATTAAACCTCCTTGTTATAAAATAATAATTGAGAAGTGGTGTCAGGGATAGAGATACTTACCTTGGCATGTGACCTTCTCGATATTTTCCTATACAAATATTTCTGTATTCTCTCTTCGTCGACTATTATGGAAAAGGAAAAATTGTGGGAAAAAAAAACAGTATTCTATTACCATTCTACGTATAGTAAGCTCATGTATTGTTTTCTGGTGTTCGAAGTATGGGTGACAAAATGTTCGATCAATTTTTTTTCTTTCTCTTTTCCTCTATAAGTTTTCGAATCTAATAGAAATTTATTTTAAATTGGAACATGATGATAATATGGTATCAATCCTAATTTGTGATGGAGACGGTGTGGGAACAAACATAAGAATCTTGAAAATATCAACTCCCGAAGTCATGTTTTAACTTTTAAATAATTTTTGGAAATAGTACTATATGACCATGTATTACTTGAAAGTTATATATATTTGATTGTTCTTTTCTTAATGTATGTTTTTGTTTTTGTGTGAGAATGTATGCTTCTGTTTTATCCAAAAAAAAGAATGCAATTACGTACAGTCTATAAAAATTGTTGGAGTCAAAATATTTTAAATAATGAACGAAAATATTTTATAAAAATAACAAACTTAACTAATATTTCTGGCAGGTAAAGCGATGATCAACGAAGCGATGGTAATCCAAGGCGATGGTAATTCAAAAAAAAAAACGATGATCAATGAAACCAATTATTTGAATATAACCAAAGTCGTGTCTGTTTGCCACCATTTATGGGGGTGTTTGGAGCTTCCGATAATCTTGGGACGAATGGTTTTTAATTTATGGACGATCGAATGTTTTATTAAAATTATGAATCGAAACCACTTTGTAAAGTTGCCTATTTGATTTGAAGCTTAAAACCGAATGAAAACCAAAAATTTAAAAGTTTTGGATGCCAAGTTTAGTTTAAGTGTAAGCTCAAATAGAAGATTCTAGCTAGGGCTTTAGAGAAAATTTAGGGTTATCAACCATATTTTGGGTTTTAGAGATCCTAACCAAACATTAAAAGGACATGTTATGAAAAAATAACACACAATGTTAAAAGTACAAAAATCCTTCTGGTCCACATGAGAATTGGTATTTCAAAAGTAGTCAGATAAAAAAAAAATGAAAGTTTTAACCTTTTAACAAAATATAAGTTAATATTAAATGTAAACAAAAGAACTACAGATATTCCATAAAATAACCTTTAACACTTTCCTTGTAATTATGATTTTTTTTTAGTTTAAAACTCCTAATGGCCGTTTGCTTGTATTCAGTATTAACCTTTAACCAAACAGTAGGCACTTTGTACAAACACTAAAATTTAGTTAAAATAATATCATTCATTATTAAAATAAATTAAAATAATATAGTATATATAGTTTGGTGATATTTTTAACTATTTTTTACTTATTATATGAATATTGTATATATTTATATATGAAAGAGGGGATCCATATCGGATATCTTGATTTTTGAATTTAATTATCCGGATCTGGATACACAGACCAATTCGGATATCTTATTTTGCTGGAACGGATGACATATATTTTGCCCACTTCTACTAAATACATGGGTGTTCATCAAGGAAAAAGATGGTTTTGAATTATAAAACTTCACAAACTAATATAATTAATGCTGTGAGTTGTCGGTGAAATTGTATTATACGATATGGTATTCCAACGCATCTAAATTTATTCTCATAAGATTAATATAATTAATTAAGATCGTAGAGGACCTCTACTAGAGGTCATAGTGTTGCAAAATCTAAAACAAAAAAACATTTTGGTATAATGATGATTATATGATTATGTAATACTAGACGGCAATAAAAATTATTTTAAAACGTATCTACAATTTTTTTAAAGATGACACTGTTACGTAACATTCTCTATTTTTTGTGATCAACATGCATTATTAGAATGATGTAAGCTAATGGTAAGGCATAAATAACACAAACACAATCACAATCACTAGCTTTGGTGTTGCAATCTGCTTGCCATATCCTATTGTGAAAACCGTTTCAACTGTTTTTCCTAGTATATAAACCTTCGTGAGACTTGATTGGAGTAGATAATTATTGATAAAACTATAGACATAAATGTGTAATGAGGAATGAACATGGAACCCTTCTTACACATTTGTTGGGATGTTTTGTCCATACCTCCTTGCCTTTGGAATCTCTCTCATCTTTCATCTTACGGCCCTCAAGGGAGCTCCCTTCCCTCTCCTCTTCAAATCAGTCATCGCTCATCTCTCTGCCTTAATTATGATAATAATTACTAATAAACAATCATTTTATTCCAGTTTAATAACAAACTATCTAAAACTGTAATCGAGAGTCTCTCCGTTAATCATTCCGGAAATAAATCAGGAGATTTTATAGTTTTATTACTAATCACTGAAATCATACCCTATTATCATGTGATGTGACATACACCACACAATGTGTGTACTAGACACATGCATGTAAAAGAACTTAATTAAGAAACAAAAAAAAGTATATAAGAATATAAAATAGATAAACATGATGTGTATATGTATAGCTTGGAAGATTGCTAAAAGCAAATTCTGGGGAAAGGAAGGGTACAATGACAGAGAAAATGGGGTGCAGGAGAATCTAACTCCCAAACTTAGCAATGCTTAGGTACCTTTCTTAATTACTTCTCTCTTCCTACACTCTTTCTCTCCTTTTATCTCTATTATTTTATTAACTTATTATATTAAAATTTCCAAATGTAATTGCACATTTTGCAGTAAACCCCTCCTTGTTCTCTCATAATCGACTCATTTTTGTTCTTTCTCCCCCTCAGTCTCAACCACTTCCACAACTCCCTCTCGTTTTTGAGAAAACCCAAATCATAAGAAACCAAAATGCATTAGAAAAAATATTTTGTTTAAGTTTTCCTTGATTTCCATTTTCATCTATTGTTTTTATAAACCCACCAAGTTTTTTACATGAAACTATCCTGAACGAGGAGTTATACCTAATCTCTGCTTCTTCTTAGGTGGGGTTTTCAGAAAGTTTTGTAATCATGGGTTTCGAGAGACCATCATCATCATTATCTTCATCATTACCATCATCAGAAAACTCAATAGCCAAGTTCAGTCTCTTTTATATATTCCTACTCTGCGTTGTCTTCCTCTGCGCGATTACCACTTTCATTACTCCCTCTTCACTTTCTTCTCCATGTAAGCCCTCGTTAACATCAACTATATTTTATCATTATTTTTCTAAGTCTTTAATTATTTATCTTTCTTTAACATAAATATCTTTTTATATTTTTGATTCGTAGGTAAAATAGAAAAAAAAAACATTGAATCATTACAGCATCATTAATGCGTATCCCTGATTATACTGTTGTGGAAATGCAGATATTAGGAACTCTAACTCTGGGAAACTAGGGCACTTCTATGCACAGGTTCGTAAGCTGTCTTTTCTTCTTACTCTCTTGCGCGATCCAATATTTTGTTGAAAAATACTTCTTTTGCTGTTGAGTCAATAATTAATTATGAACAGGGCTCATATACCGTGTTATATTATTATCTAATAAATATAACCACATAAAATCCAAAAATAGCTTAGTATCTATTTCTCCTGATTCAAGTATCTTTGGAGGACAAGATTGATGTTGATTCATCATTAAAGACATATTAAATAAGCTTATAATGTGGGGATCTCTAAAAGGACTACACAAACAAAAGAGGGGTGTGGCTAAACTGCGCTTGAACAGTCAGCGACTGTGACGGCATGTCGAGACTGACTGAGCAGCAGGGATGCCATGTACTCCTGAAAAGAATCTCAGCCGTCCGATTCGCTTCGGCACACGAGGACAAGGACAGTACTCGACTTTGGTCCGTTCACCACTTGTGGGACCCTGCCTTGCTTTTGTCTGTGTTTTCGATCTCGCTCGAGTGGTAACATTGGTAATGTTACTCGCCCCCACAGCGCACGTTAGCGTATGACAGCCTCTTTGGAACTTCACAATCTCTCTGCTTTTTTTGGTAATGTGCGTAGCGCTTTTTCCGGAGCGGTATTCCCGGCTCTTGTCTCACTCCCCCAGCCACGTCTCAAGATTGATCTTGCCTAAACTGCGCATTTTAGCAATCACAGGCGTATGTTAGCGAAATGCGCACTTCTAATGATAGCAACTGAAGCTGAGCTGATCGTAATTTTTAAAAAATATAAAAAACTGTACAAGAAGACATGTATAAAAATATTCTTGATTAACCTCTGCGTATACCTTTCAGGAGAAGGAGGGCAAGAGTACACTGGTAGTAATGAAGATGAGGAAGATCGGTAGTAAATGGAGTAAAGAGGCGGAGCTACGGAGGATTCTTAGGGGGTTGGGGTCGTCTCCGCCACGGTGCTCCTCCAAGTGTGGAAGATGCACGCCGTGCAAGCCTGTGCACGTACCGGTGCCTCCGGGCACACCTGTCACCGCTGAATACTACCCCGAAGCTTGGAGATGCAAGTGCGGCAACAAGTTGTACATGCCATGATCTTATATATATACTCACATATATACATTATATATATGATTTATATATATGCGGGTTTCATGTTCATGTCTTATGTCTCTACATCAAATATATATTATATATTAAACATGTTTTTAGGAAACAATCGTTACGTGAAACTTTTGATGATTGATTGATGATGCTCGTATATGGGTCCGTTTATACCTTTTTTTTTTAGCATATGATATAAGTTATAAGATACGTAGTGTATATGATAAAATAATTTATACGCATGCATGTCATGCTATTTATTGATTATTGTCTTCCGGTCCTCAACGTACGGGCTTCCTAATGCCACGTAAATAAAAGCATATGGACTAATATAATGAGCCGAAAAGCCCAACAACATCATCCCTTCTTCCCTTGGCACATACTAGATTATCGATCATGCATCCAAGTAAACTGAAAATATCTATTTCCGGGACTAGTTGATTTTCATTACATGTTAAGTCATGTCAACTCACTCAAATAGTCTATTCATATATATAAAGTATACGCTATACTAATACACACGTGTTTTACACGAGTTTACTTTATATTAGTCGTCACACAAAGACATACAACAACTTTCAAGGATTTCAAAGTCGTTGCTAGTTATTAACTCATCGATTTTTTTTTTCCTATTGAAATAAGAGGCTTCTTATGTAAAACTTTAATCACGATGCGAAGATAATCCCATGTTCTGTCTTCCCGACTAGGCGACTAAAACCAAAGATCTTTCTTTTTTTTGGTCGTTCTAAATTCTAATACTATAATAGTTATAGATGATAACACATAGAAATAATTAGTCTCTAGTTATTTATATAGTAGAGGAATAATTAGTCTCTTAATCAGATTAAATAATAGAGAAATAATTAGTCTTCCGATCGTTTAAATAATAGAAGCATATCTCAGCACCGATTTTCAAACACGGTATGGGTGGAAGCAGCCGGCCCACATCATTAACCGTCCAGCTGGAAGCCGGCGTCGACTTGTTCTACCATTGGGATACTGCCACGTGCCATCGTCTTCTACTGTAGTAGAAAACCTGACACCATCCCGTGGAACATGTTTTTTTGTTTTAAATTAGTTTTACTAACCAAGTCGCTATCTTAGTTACCTACAAAAATAAAAATCACACACGCATGACGCATATAGTTCTGATTCGAAAGACCTATTTATTGTGTGTAGTACTATTTTTAACCATGTCTACAAGCTTCTAAATAGTTCTAGATGTAGAAAATTCGAGAGAAGTTATGAATTGTTAGGCGAAAAAATCACGCGTATGCAAAAGAAAAGATTTAGAAACCATCGACAACATGCATAATAACTGAGTGATAAAAAAACCACGCAATAATTTGTGTAACTGGTCGAATTTTTAAGTGTATATCTATTGTACAAAAAGATATACAACCAAAATCGTCAGTTGTAAAAAAAAAATATACCATTGTTATACGTTCAAACTAAAATTAATTTTGTTGGAGTGTACTGTAAATTTCATCTCAGTAGCAGTGTGGTCTCACCGCAGCAGTTTAGTCATTAGTATGATTAAGAAATCATTATATAATTAACTCACATAAAAACTAATTAAATACACATAGCTAATCCAGTTGAAATTATTTTAATATAATTAAAATGAAACAAATGCTGTGAATAATTTCCGTGGGTTGTAACGTATTTGTGTTTATAGGATAATATGTCATCGAAATTCAAATTCTTTTTTCTTTTCTTCATCTGAACGAATGTTTTTATTTGTAAGATCTATTACTAATAAAAGTTGATGCTAAATGCCTCTAAGGATGTACACATAGGAATTAAAGATTTAATTCTATTGGTACACATTATCATTATTTTTAGTTAATTATATATTGTATATTAAAATTAATTAATTCGTTTTAATTGTTACAAGGAAAATTTATAAATTTTAATTAATTTTGTTTTGTTGTTATTAGAAAAATTTCTAAATTTTAAGTTAGTTATTAATAAAAAAGAGTTTTGAAAATAAATCTTCTTTTCTATTAACAATACAAAGGTAAATTTACATATAAATAGCTTATGAAAGAAAAATTATATATATTGAACAAAATTATTAAAAACTGTATTTAAACCCACAATTAAATTATTTTAAAATTTTAACCACGATAAACTATTAAAATCTGAACTGCTAACTTAAAATATATTAGTTGTGGTCTGTGTTGATGTCTTAGGCCAACGAGAGCGTCCACATAGGACATATATACTTAATCTGATTAGTCTATATCAGCGTTTTTCATTAAACATACAAAAATAAAAAATATTATTAATAATTTAAATAAATTAAAACATATAAAAATATAAAATTATCACAATAGAATGGAAAATTAAGAAATTTTTTTTTAACTAAATAAAATAAATTTATCTCAAAAATTCTAAATCTATTGTGAAAATAAAATAGAAATTCATTGTCACAAAAACTAAACTAACAAAAACCAATATGTAAATCAATAACGAAAAAGTTAAATTAAAAAAAATAGCATATATATTTTATATGAGTAATTTATTTAGAAAAATGTTAAGATTAAATTTTCATATTAACATATAAAATTATTATTTAAAAATATCAATACTACCAAAAAAACATTCATTTTAAATTATCAAAAAAGAAAGTCATCTAAAACTTATAATTTTGGAAGAAATATTTAAAAAATTAACAGAAAAATCTTAACAAACCAAAAATGATATTTTATGCTAATTACTGAAGAAAATAATATACAAAAATGTTTAACTAACAAAAACCAAAATATAAATTATTTCTTACAACATGTCAATACAATTAAAATGAAAGTCTATATCGAGAAAGTTAAATTAACAAAAAAAAATATTAACTTAATACCTATGTTATATATTTTACCAAAATCAATAAAAAAGAATAAGTAAGAGAATAAAAAACTTAAATAATACTAAAAATTTAACTAACAAAAATAATATAAATATTTAAGCTAATCATTTAAGAAATCAATATTAAGAAACTAATTAACTAAAAAACTAAAATGGAAATTAAGTTTTACAAAATATTATTTTGTTAAAAACACTTAAAATATATTGACTTGATATCTGACTAACTACTTAAAAAGTTCATATAAAAATATTTAACTAACAAAAAATTTATGTCTTCAAAATATCAATATTTTTAAAACAATAGTGTGTTAAAATAAAATAAAAATCAATATCAAGAGAGGTAAATTATCAAAGAAAAAAATCGTATAAAGTAAAATTAGCTTGATATTTAGGCTAACTACCAAACAAATATTAACTAAAAAAAGCAAATGATGGTATAAGCTTTTGAGAGAAGTTCACTTAAAATTTAGAATAATCAGTTATAGCATGTCAAAATAGCATTTTAATTAATTTTAAAAGTAAATTTAACAAAGAAAAAGTATTTATGTAAAAGATATTAGATTAATATATATGTTACCTATTTGAAAAATTAATAAAAAGAGATTAATTAAAAATATATATGTTTTAAGTATATCAAACCTGCAAAAAATTAGTTAGTTAAAATAAAATATAAAATTACCATTGAAGATATTTAAAATAACAAAAACAAGATCTAAGAAGAAAATTAGTTTGAAATATAGTTCTAAAAACATTCATGATTTCTAAAATATTGGTGTTGACTATGAATAACCATATAAAGTTTTAATAGGTTATACAAGTTTCTAAATCAAACATATTATTTAAATTTACAAAGATTAATATCTTGGTTGCGTCTGGTTGAAAATTTAACAAAGTAAAATATTACACAAGTAACTTTATATTCAAAATATAATAAGTCATAAAGTCTGATTTGTATACATATTTACTGCTTATAACTTAGTCAACATGAACAACACATGAGCAACATCCTCTAAAATTTTATTTAAATAATATAATATGACAAAGTTATGAATCAAATTCAAATAGGAATATATGAAGATAAAATATTCATATCAAAACATGAATAAACACACAAAAAGATAAAAAAAAAACAGTGATAATGTGAAGTTTCAACATCATCTTACATGTTTAAAAACAAATATTAGCAAATAGTTGACTGCAAAAAAAACAGATCTTATAAACTGAATATAGATATAATTTAAAATTCGTAGAAGATCTGGTAGATAAGCAAAAAACAGCTGTACACGTTTAGTGTAGTTTACTAACAAAAGTAAATCAGAATCAACATATATCATATATTATATATGTATATGTACACAATATTAGTGAGACATTTAGTAAAAAAAAACTAAATATTTAAACATATAAACTTTTTTAAAAAAAGAACTATAGAAATCCTAAGGATACAAAACAAAACACTAAAAATTTAGTAAGAAAATCATTTTCTAAATCAAACATATGCACATCGAAGTTGGATAATTCGTTAGGTGTGATAAAATTTATAATTTTATAAACAAAAATAGGAAATACTACATATTATGTTTTAATTTTTTATATAAAAGAAAATTTCTACAAATATATTATAGTTTTGATAATTTAAAAGATATTAGCCAAAAAAACAAACTAAATTATTAATACAGACTTGCACGTAACACGAATTAAAAGCATAGTTAAATAAAAAAGCGATATCGTTGAATATTTACTCTTTTCAATATCAAAGGCTTCACTAAACACATCTTTTGCAGTTGTATATAACGGTTAAAGACACTTCAAAAGAAGCACAATCTCTTTCGACCAAAAGAAAAAAGAAAAGAAGCACAATCTTGTCACTATATATGACAATTGTTTAACCGTTACGTATATATATCATTGTAAACTTATGCTTTTGCAAAGCAATTTCCCCAAATTTTTGTGCGCCTTAAAAATTAGGATTTAAAAAGCCATGATTTTATTTTTTAGCTTCAGTTAAACTCCTTGTTTTAGACATCTTTATCCCTTTTCGGTTTCTCCCTTTAGTCTATTGACCTTAATCCTTTTTTAATCCCTTAAGACCAAATCAAATAACAAACATTCTCTGCGTTTCACCATAAACCTCCTCCTCTTAAATACCTAACCACTTCCTTTTAAAATCTTATTCCAAATTCCATAAAAAGTAAACACACAACGAAAAAAAAACATCCCTTAACGAAAAAGAAAAGAAAAGAAGAAGACGAATTAGCATACGTGTTCACATCTGAATTACGCGCAAATCAAAAGCTCAGATTCAAATATTCGCCAGGCGAAAAATCGTCTTTCCTCCTTCTATAGATCAATCATTTCTCATTCCGTCTCTGGCTTCTACAACCATGCCAGAGATCGAGATTGTCGCTGACGGCGGCGATAACAGCAACAACGCCGCCTTGTTCGGCAAATACGAGCTCGGGAAGCTCCTTGGATGCGGCGCCTTCGCCAAGGTCTTCCACGCTCGCGATCGACGTTCCGGCCAGAGCGTCGCCGTAAAAGTCCTCAACAAGAAGAAGCTCCTCGCGAACCCAGCCCTCGCCAACAACATCAAGCGCGAGATCTCCATCATGCGGCGTTTGTCTCACCCCAACATCGTTAGGCTCCACGAGGTGATGGCGACGAAGGGGAAGATCTTCTTCGCGATGGAGTTTGTTAAAGGAGGAGAGCTTTTCATCAAGATCTCCAAACACGGCCGTCTCAGCGAAGATCTCAGCCGCAGATATTTCCAGCAATTGATCTCAGCCGTCGGTTACTGCCACGCACACGGCGTTTACCACCGCGATCTCAAGCCGGAGAATCTACTGATCGACGAGAACGGGAATTTGAAGGTTACCGATTTCGGTCTCAGCGCCTTGACGGATCAGATCCGACCCGACGGTCTCTTGCACACCTTGTGCGGCACGCCTGCTTACGTGGCGCCGGAGATTCTCTCCAAAAAGGGATACGAAGGCGCAAAGATCGATGTGTGGTCGTGTGGCATCATCTTGTTTGTTCTCGCCGCCGGTTATTTGCCGTTTAACGATCCGAATCTGATGAACATGTACAGGAAGATTTACAAAGGGGAGTATCGATGTCCTCGATGGATGTCTCCGGATCTGAAACGATTCATTTCTCGTCTCCTCGATATCAATCCCGAGAAGAGGATCACCATCGATGAGATCCTGAAGGATCCTTGGTTCGTGAAAGGAGGACTTAAACAGATGAAATTCCACGACGGGATCGATAAGGATTCCGATTTCGTCAAGGGAGGCGATGTTAATTTCGATGAGAAAGGAGGAGGAGGAGGAGGAGAATCGGAAGCGGTGAAGAGCCTAAACGCGTTTGATCTGATATCTTACTCATCGGGATTAGATCTCGCCGGTTTGTTTTCCAGCAATTCGGTTGGAGAATCGGAGAGGTTCGTCTCGGAGAAATCGCCGGAAGCGCTTTCGGAGGAAATCGAAGGATTCGCAAAGGCAGAGAAGCTGAGGGTGAAGAAGAAGAAGGACGAATATGGGTTCGAAATGGAAGGGCAAAACGGGAAATTCATAATCGGGATATACGTTTCGCGGCTGAACGATCTGCTAGTGGTGGTGGAGGCGAGGCGGAGAGGTGGCGACGCCGATTGCTACAAGGAAATGTGGAATAACAAACTCAGGCTTCAGCTTATTCGCGTTTGCGATCAAACGCCAACCACTACTATTTAAAAAACGGTACGAAGTTGTTATGTGCTTTCAAATCAAACGCCAATCGCAGTGCATGGTTGGATTGACACGATTGATTTGCGTTACTGTTACGTTTTTAGAATTATTACCGGAAAAAAAGGAAAAAGAAAACAAAAAATATATATTGACGTATCTATTTTTACATACTGTGCTAAATTGTATGTATCTATTTTGTGATTTTTGATCAAAAAAATGTATTACTCACTATGTACAACAAGTCTAAATTGCATTTGTAGATACTTACTCTTTTGTATAATATAGAAGATGTTCTTCTCTTTATAGTTTGGATTTCCAATTTTACTCAGATACTTAACCGTAATTGGTTTAGTCAACTTTTTACTAGTCGATTCTCGAATTGGATCGGCTTATTCTATATTGGCTTCTTCAATTAAATGTTATATTTTTATCTATAATTGAACATATGAAATGATTGAATGGGAGTTCCACAACCAGCGATCAAAAGGATAAAAAAAGATTTGTACAGTTCCTTACAAAAACTTAGAACAATGCAGCTTTTTGTTGTTGTTGTTGTTGAGAAAAAGCTATTATTGTCTACTTATTTATAAATTTACAACTCAAAAGGAGTGAAGGTTAAGGATTATCATTATTAAAGCATCATCATAAGCACCAGTCTTTTCTCATGCACCTAATCATTTTTTCGGCTGATTCTTTCTTAAAATAACGATATTTATTTTGTTTAATTTCATATATGATCATTTCCCAAGCTCAAAGTACAGTTTCTGCCCACCTTTTTGTTCTCTATACGTATAGATGGAAAAATATGGATAATTAGGTTGTTTGGTATAAATTAGGAAAGTAGATGAAGGGAAACGAATCAAAAGATCAGATTAATCTCCATTCTAATTCTCATAATTTATGAAGCTATGTGAAATCTGAGTAGCACAAAATACGATTGTAATTATGAGAGCCTGTGGTTGATTACACTGATGCATGCTTAGGCTGAGAATATGGTTTACGAATGTATATATCTAAACTTTCTTTTTACTCTTGTCGAGTGAGATTTGAATTTAAAATTGCTCCATATTCAAGAAAGTGATATTCTATAGAAGGGACCACTAGCAGATCTTTGCTTTTCGGATTGAAGAGAAAAACTTAACTCAATAGTTGTGATCTGATAATTTCTTATAATTATAACTAAAGATGGAAGATTCATTTCTACTACGTGTATTACGGACCACTAAAATAAATTCGTGGCCAAGAATCCTAGTTATCAATAATGGATCTCACGCCAATTCTGAAACAACAAATTAAAAGGCAAAAACCAATAATGGATCTTTCTGAAACAACAAATTATAGGTAGGCAACCCTTTTTCAAAAAAAAAAAAAAAAAAACAAATTATAGGTATACAGTTGTTAGAATAGTTACACCATGTTTTTTTATTTTTTTTTATTTTTTTGGGGGTCTTAAACTGAAAATAATAGTTCTAAAAGTTTTGGTTTGAGTTTGGATTGTAGTATACTACAACTACAAGTCTACATCTTCAATCTAAAAAGTTCGAATTGTATTTTAGTTTGGAGTTGGGATTTTTACACTTTTAATACGTAAGGGAGAAATCTTCTTAGTTCAGAAAATGGGCCATTCTGTATTTATATTGGGCCATAATTATAATCGCTAGCCTGGCCCATTATATTCCTTACGGATACACATACACACCTGTCTCATCTCGTCCAACGGTCGAATTGACGCGGAGAGGAGAGAGAGAGAGAGATCAGAGATGAGAGAGAAAAGGGGCAAAAGAGCAAATCCCAAAACCCTAGATCCCGTCGTTGAGGATGATGATACTCGTGTAGTCACCGGTAAAGAAGGGAAAGGCTTCTTCGCCTGCTACATCTTGACTTCTCTGAGCCCTCGTCACAAGGGTCACACCTATATCGGGTATTCGATTTCATCTTCCACTTTTCTGGGTTTGGTATTTTTTTTTCCCGAATAAAATTCGCACTTGTGGATCCGTACAATTGAAATCTTGTTCCATTATGGTAATTGATATTGAAATTTTTGATTTGCTCATGTTCGATGCTTGATATAATCAGTGGTTTACTGCAAAGTTAGATTGATCAAGTATTAACATTTATTGTGTTTATTTGATTGATACTATTGTCTTCCTTTCCTCAACTACACTCTCTTAAATTAGATCAAATACCAAATTCGAGTTTTTTTTTCTTTTAATTTAGACTTCTAATTGTTGGTTTACTTTACTGCTTCAAAATTAGTGCTTTTTTTTTTTTTTATCATGGCCGAATTTGTTGTAGTGCGCTCAAGAACGGTTAACATAAACCCGGTTTTGCAGGTTCACGGTTAACCCGAGGAGAAGAATAAGGCAGCACAATGGAGAGATCACAAGTGGTGCATATAGAACAAAGAAGAAACGTCCATGGGAAATGGTCCTCTGTATCTATGGTTTCCCCACCAACGTCTCTGCTCTTCAGGTTCCTTTGACCTAAAGATCTTATCTTTGACACCCCCAAGCTTCATGCTTTAGATTAATATGTACCAATTTTAGCGAAAGATCTTGGCTTTTTTGACTTCCCTTTGCTCTTAAGTCGTGCCCTCTTGAAATGGGTAATAGCTAAAATGCTTTTTTGCTGTGAAAGTCATACTGATGTGTTTTTGGGAATTTCGTTGCAGTTTGAGTGGGCTTGGCAACATCCGAGAGAATCTCTTGCGGTGAGAGAAGCTGCTGCTGCTTTCAAATCCTTCTCTGGACTTGCAAGCAACATCAAGCTTGCATACACTATGCTAAATCTTCCAGCTTGGAATACGTAAGGAGGAAGCTTACCATTGTTGTTATTATTTGCTATGCAATGTCCCATCTTATATCTCTCTCTGTGTGAACAGTTTAAACCTTACAGTCAACTATTTCTCAACAAAGTATGCACACCATGGTGGTCTTTCTCCGAGTTTGCCTTCACACATGAAAGTCCAAGTTTGTGCTATGGATGATCTTCCTTGTTTCTCAAAGCTGGACAACGATTCTCAACCCGAAGATGAAGAGAGTAACGAAGAAGAGGAGGAGGATGATAGTAGTAGCCAAAGCCAGCCTGAGAACCCAACTACAAACTCATCGAATGACTTGTGTCCGGGTGAAAAAGCGAAAGGGCCTGAAACTGTTCTTGATGACAGAATAGCAAATTTCACTGGTTTTGGGTTATTAGATGAGAGTGTTGAAGATGAAGTATCACATAACAGGGTAGGATCCGTTGAAGCTATGGAGAAAGAACCCGAGACTGTACGTGATGACAGATTAGCGAACTTCACTGGTTTTGGGTTATTAGATGAGAGTGTTGAAGATGAAGTATTGCATAGCACTATGGAGAAAGATTGTTGGAGAAGAAGCAACCTTATTACTTCAACCACTGAAGTTGAAGTGATAGATCTGATGACCCCGTCACCGAGCTGCAGAGTTGGATCGTCGTTGAAGAGGCGACGAGTTTCTGAGTTTATAGATTTAACAAGGTCTCCTAATTTCATAGAGTTGTAAAAATAATATTACACAAGAGTTTTGTGCAAATCGAAATCAACTTTGTTGTAATTGTCTACTATTATGTAATAAAACAAAAGATTTCAAATCCTTTGAATCTTAATCTCTCATCTTCTTCCTGGATATTAAAGCCTGACCAAAATCTCTACTTTGAATCCCAATCTCGATTTTTGAGAATTGCTAATTTGCGATATTGTATTATATGCACCAAGTTTTGATTATGTGATTAACCTCTATTTGGATACAAAGTTATGTGATTCTGCAGTTCCAATCAACCTAAAGGTATTATAAATTATACTCTCAATGTTAATAAATTTGGAAACAATTTATGCATTCAAGTTCACTAGTTCTTTATTAGGATCAAAACTTTCATACTTTTGTATGTGAATCAGTGAATGAGTTCTCATCTAATTAGCATCCAAAATTCATGTGTTAAATTTGGTTTATTAACAACATTAAGATCAAGACTTTTTAGATACTGCATGTGAATGCACGAACAAAAAAGATTCCTAGTTTACATTATTTTGTTGAGCTTTCAAATATTACATTTTTTGTTTGTTTGAAGTTAACAAATATGAATAGAGTATTACATTTCAAAAAGGAATAAACGTAATTCGATTTCCGAAGAGTGGAAAAATGATGAGATCTAGTGTGCCCACATGTTCTCGATCTTGACTTATATTTTGTGTGCAGTGATAGCATGTTAACAGGAACCATAGTTGTAATTACGGTCAATGATTTAAACTATAAACTGGTTAAGCATTTAATTTAGGTTCTTAGACGGAAACATCCTTCACGTGCAGTCACATGTCTAATATATTCTGCAGTTCTTTCTTCTTTTGTAACCATTTTCTTATCGTATTAGATTTTCTTTTTACAGTTTGACATATTTCACATAAAGTAGCATATAACACGTGAATAAGGTTGACTGAAGAAAAGACAATGAAAAAGTTTGGTTTCTCCTCAGTCCCTTTCTTTGACCTAATTCTTGAATATGCATAATCATTAAATAACCCTTAAACATAATTATCACCAAAATATCTTCTTTTTCAAGATTAAAATTTTTGTTTTCTTGAAGGGTTAAAAAGGTTAATTCTTATTTGGGATTGCCCCACGCGCAGTGTTGTCCGAACGGACCAGAAAAGAAGTCCAATAAGATCACTACTGTTTTGCTGCACTTGATTCGATGGTGTAAAGAAGTCTAATAAGATCACTTAAACACGTCTGAGAATTATTTAATCCGGTTCGGTTCGGTTGAATCTGATCGAATCCGTACGGTTCATCCGTATTATAGAAATCTAGAGCTTTAATTTGCTCATTAGTCACAATAGTCAATACTGAGTTGCGCCAAGCGACATAATCTGTATCTTTTTTTCTCCAACTAACTTTCTTTAAGTGTTTAGAAATTAAGAAACAAAATAAACTCTTTAAGTTTATATGTTTTAGGAATTGTTTTGATCGTTGGGTCTCGATCTTATTGGAATTAAAATGGATTAAATATTCTGGTCAGAATACAAAACCATATTTTATTGAACATGGTAAAATATTAATCACCAAAAATTCAAGTTACTTTATTATGGTCTTCGGTCGTATACAGTATCTTTCTGTATTTGCTCATAAATAATCTCTTGCCAATCTCGAGCATGCTAAAAAATTGATAATGAATATCTTAGCTACAAGAGTATTATAATTATATAGAGTTTTTTTATATGATTATCAATTCTTGTACGTCGAGATGATGTAAGTATATAATTCTATAAGCATTTTACAAAATAAAATAATTAAAGACCGACCATTTACTTCACCCTAATGACTCTCCTTTTATTAAGAAGCTCTAATTCCTCAATTTCTCCTCTTCTTTCTTCTTCATTTCTCCTGCTCCTCCATTGATGATCTCAAAAACAAACTTATAATTAGCATGCTTGAATGTCCAGAGATAGGTAAATTTAATCAACATATATACTTCTTCTTTTTATATCTTGGTAAGTTTTTGATGATAATCGATTGATGTTAAACTGATTTGGAAACAATAGGGAAGGATTTGGCGAGTACTACGAGATCCTGAAGAAGATCAAGAAAGATCCAACCTTCGAAACAACGACGGATCATGCCGTGATGGGGATCAGGAGACACGTGGCGGTGCCTCCAGGGACGACGTTGAACACCGTGACTCCATGCGCCGCTTGTAAGCTCCTCCGCCGTCGTTGTGCGGAGGAGTGTCCTTTCTCACCGTACTTTTCGCCGCATGAACCCCACAAGTTCGCCGCCGTTCATAAAGTCTTCGGCGCCAGTAACGTCTCCAAGATGCTTCTGGTACTTACTTACATATCACATATTTCTACACTAATGATTCAAAATCTCTGCTTAAGATTTCTTATTACTTACTCTTTGGATCTATATCATATTTGATTAATGGGAATATAGTTGAAATGATCTACCACTTTTTTGTTTGACTATTTCCAAAACTATTGATCAAAACAGTATATTTACCCTTTTAATAAATTTCTTAGGAGGTTGAATAAGGGAATTAATTTTGTTGTTGTTGTCTACAACTCACACAAGAACATCATAACCGTACAAGAACATTACTATAAGGGAACCACTAAGTTTATAAGTTACATATTTTTGGTCGATTTTCTTAATTAAAGAATTACCACAATTTTACTAACAAACTTTTCTTTTTCAAACAAAATGCTATTTTGCATAATTATATCATATTCGTCACATTCCTCTCTACCGGTACGCATTTGGTTTTCTATAGGTGGTTGCAACCGTTATAATCTGTAAATAGAGGAAACTAAACATTTTGTTGTAGTAAGTATAACTTTGTTGTAAGAAGCTAACTATTTCTTATATATATATATATATATATAATATAAAAATATCCTTCCTAATGAAATAAACATCTACCATGCACAAAAACAATTGCCACTTTGCATGGAAATAAAACTCAATTGTTGTTACACTCTAATTCGAATGATCATTATTTTACAAATAAAATCAAAAATCACATTAAAAAGAAAACATTTTATTGGAGAATTTCCATACTATTTTCTGTCTAATGCTATACACAATTTAACTAGTGAATGTGGCCATCTATATGATATATAATAATAATTATTGACTAAAATGTTACAGGAAGTGGGTGAGAGCCAAAGAGGAGACGCAGCAAACAGTTTAGTATACGAAGCAAACTTAAGACTAAGAGATCCAATCTACGGTTGCATGGGCGCAATCTCCGCTCTTCAACACCACATTCAGTCTCTACAATCCGAACTCACCACCGTCCGTACAGATATCCTCCGCCACAAATACCGAGAAGCCGCCACAATCACTTCCCTTCAAAACAACTTCAACAATATTACTACAACAACATCAGTGTCCGATCATGCTCTCGCGGCGGCAATTCTACTCCGACCACCACCGCCGCCGCCGCCACCTCCACCACGACCACCAAGGCTATTGTTGTCTCAGCCGGCTCCACCGCCTACCCCACCGGCTTCGCTGCCGTCTCCTTCGATGGTGGTGTCGTCATCATCGTCTTCTAATTCATCTGCTACCAATTCTATGTATAATCCTCCTCCGTCTTCCGCGGCGGCTGGATACAGTAATTCTCTGTCCAGTGATAATAATGTTCATTACTTCGATTAAATCAGAATTATGTCTTCTTAATTCTGCTTTCTTTAATACTATTGTTATACCTCTTATAAGCTAGAAGTTTGAATTTGTTGATCCATGTTGAGGATAGGGCGTGAATGTTTTGGCTTATTTGTTATTCATGTGGATTAGTAATTCCATTACTAGCTTCAATATCTATATATACGTGATGGATACTATATATACTACTTATTTTGTTTATTGGTTAGCTATTTAATTATTTCTGTCAAGTAGTTATCTGTTTTGTTTCTCTGCAAATTATTAATCAGTTACAAATAACAGCCTATAATTTGCGTCGGCAGATGTATAATCGAGATATCATGTGCAATTAATTTGAAAGTTACGAGAAATGATTGTGATGCAAGACTTTCCCTTGCAAGTTCATCACCTGGAAATTGGAAAAGCTTACGATATGCATTTTGATAAAACTTACTGTAACTTCACATTTCGATATAACTTATCTGTAGCTTCTCATTGCGATATATATTATTGATATGCATTTTGATGTTACTTCACATTTCTTACTGTTTTAAATTCTATATAATCCAAAGGGTGACGTGCAGAGCTTAACTTATTGATGTTATTAATATTATTCCTTTTTTTTTTTTTTTGTCAATTAATAGTATTTCTTCTACAAACGATTTTCATCCACGAGAAAATTCAACCCTCACAAGCTAAACTTGTATTATATATGACTTTAAAAATTTAAAACCTACGTTTTATATTCACGGTTCATAACCGGAGAAAATTCCACGCCAATCCTTCGATTTGTTAAAACAAATTGATATTTTTATCATTTTTATTATGTACAATGGTTAATCCTACTTAAAATCGCAAAAAAAAAAAATCATATTTGATTTTGAGCTTTACTATTAATTACCTTTGTGCAATTACTATGAAAGATTACACTACTATCTTTCTTTTCTTAACCACTATCATTATCTATCTTATACAAAACAATGACTGAATGTTGTAGCTTACACTTTTGACAGGGGATGGGATATGCTTGCACGCTATATGGAAGGTTGCTTCGTGAATTCGTTATATTTTTTTTTATCCGAAGTTCCTAACCGTGAATTTAATTATTCTAATATTTCTAACTAGCTTCAAAACATACAAGAGACTAAATAGCAAATATAAACTTTGAAAATAATATAAATCCACATTACATAATAAATTTTAACAGGAAGAATCTGCAAAATATAGTCGTGGTAAATTGAAGAATATTTATATATCTGAGAGATTCGACTAACTTATGACTTAGAGCATATTAAACTATTAACGTATACTAGTTCAGATTTAACATTGAATGAAGGCGTTGGCTAATAATGTATATATATTTGGCAACGAGCATTCCCATGTATTAATTTTAAACTTATTTATAAAGTCTTTAATGTGGTTTAATTTAGTCAAGGGGATAAATTGATCAATTAATTAATAATAACCATAGCAAAATCTATTGTATATCCCTAACATAGTTCCAGTGTCATCACATGACGCAATTACATAGTCCCACAAACATTTAATTGTTACATTAATGTTTACAGCTCATGTTTTGCCTGTTAACACACATTATATACTAGTATAAGAAGAGTTTAGATATATCAACACTAATTATCAAATATGTGTTCAATATGTTGCAACGGCAAAAGTAAAACAGTTGTGGAAGTCTATTGATTGGGTCCAACGATCTATGGGTCCTGATCTCGTTTCGCTAATGCTTTGTCAACTTTGGGTGTTGGTTTCTCCCAAGTCGTTAGAACATCTCAAACCACCGGAGTCTCTAGATCTGTCGGACCCTCCTGATCCTTTGCGTAGTTACTTTCCCACCGGAGTCTTTTGGCGTCAAACGGATGATTAGTGAAAATGATTTTTTCTTAAGAAAATGAATACTGAAAATCTCGACCATAAATACTATGTAAGTAGAATAGTCTGTCATAAAATTGTTGAGAAAAATATTTATCATTATCACATTAATGATGTTCCTACTTAGGAGAAAAACTCAACGACTTCTTTTTCTATTTTAACATTCGAAACTCATGATTATCAATGTATTGTATACAACCAAAATAAAATCTCTAAATAAAACTTAATACATAATTCATAATTTATTCATGAACTACACAATACTCGTGCGAAGAAATTCATTTTAATAAGAAATTTGTAAAGTCTATAGCTCTTATTTTATTTTTGAAGTTATATAAGGTTTTTGGTTACATGATTCATAATTTATTCATGGTCTTACACAATACTCGTGCGAAGAAATGCGGTTTAATGTTGGTACTGGACCAACCAAAGCTCATTTAATCAATTCGGCATAAGTCGATTCTAAGCTCAAAATCAGTTCAGCCAAAGATTAGCTCGGCCCAAGAAGAAGAAGCAATCTTTAGCCCATATTCGAGAGAGAACCCCAGCTCAGCCCAAATCCGAAGAATAAAGTCAAATAAGGTTAATTTCGTCAAAAATACCCAGCGAAGCCACCGCCCTAATTCCCTATAAATAGGACCGTACGCAGTACGAAAAACGTATTCATTACTCCGGTTTTTACGGAATTAGGCTTTAATCACGCATTTGTAAGAGCTTCTCCTTTTTGGAGGTCGGCTTTCGTATTAGAGCTTCTCGCTCGGGATCCCAATTTGTGGGAACCCTCTTTTTAGTATATTTGACGAGTCCGTTCTGTAATCTTTCGATCCTTGTTATCAATAAAATACGAATTATCCAAGGTTGAATCTAAAGTTCACCAGTTGGCGCTCCAGAGAGGGTGATTCAGGTTTTAAAGATAACAAGTCAAGATGGCAGAACAGATTCCATCTGCAGTCGGCCCGCCGACCTCCTCCATGTCGCCCGCGACTACTTCCACCATGTCACCTGCGCCGACCTCTTCGATATCGCTCTTACTGACCTCCATGGTATCATCCCTGCCGACTCTTTCGCCTTCGCCTACGGCATCGCTTTTGCCGATTTCATTTGCACCACTTACGTCGAATTCTGTAGCACTCCCCATGCCGACCCCACTGGTGTCGGAGGAACGCAGTCTAATGACGTCTCTAGAGCAATCATATACAAGGCCGACCTCAATGGCTTCTGCCTACCGCACGTACACTCCGCCCACCGGACCAGTCTTTCTGGCAAGGTCGACGGGATCAGTTCCTGCAACTAGACCTTCCCTCACCACAACAAACGCCCCAAGTCCGACGATGTCTCCTGAAAATCTCCTGGCACAGCCTGACGTGTCGAGCCTACTCCAAATGCTCATCGGCCAAATGACCGAGAGCACGCGTGGAATGAACGAGAGACTCGATGACCTGGCTACGGTGCAACACGTTTGCCACAACAGGATTGACGAGCTCCACAATCGAGGCAACGAGCAGACGCCGACCGCAACCGTCTTCGCTCCACGTCTACAACGAGCATTATTTGAAGACTTGGACGCTAGTCCAAACGAGCAGGCCGACTGGCCCCAGACAATCGGCCGAGAACGAGCAAACCAAAGACATTCGGGAAACGATGGCGTCCGAACCCTGGAGCAGCCGAGCCCGCAGGAGGCCACCGTCAGCAACCTCAATCACCAGGATCAACGACTAAACAGCAAATTCGAAGCGATAAAAGCCCAACTGCAACGGATGAGCTCCCAGGTTCATCAGGCAACAAGCTCGGCCCTGGAACTCGACCGCGTGCTAAAGGATGCCCAGAACACTCCATTTACGAAAAATATAACCAATTTCCCAGCTCGCCACCCGGGAAAGGTTAAGGTAACACCATACGACGGCACAACAGATCCCACGGGATTCATACAGTCTTTCACGATTGCCATGGGGCGAGCCCAATTCCAGTCGCATGAACGCGACGCGGGATACTGTCAGCTGTTTGTTGAGAACTTGACAGGCGCCCCCCTGAATTGGTTTTCCCGACTGAAAGCCAACTCAATCGACAGCTATGAAGATTTGTCGTTGGCATTCTTCCGACATTATTCAATGTATATCGAGCACGGAGCTCGCGAATCCGACCTTTACACACTCCGCCAAGGCTCGAAAGAATCGTTGCGGTTGTACATAGGCAAATTCAAAAATATCGTCTCCAGATTGGTTTTGTCCGACAACGTAGCTCTCCCTGCGCTCCAAAACGGACTTTGGTTCGAATCCAACTTTTACGAAGAACTGAAAAAGAACAGACCAAGCAGCCTAGAGGACGCACTCCATCGCGCGACAATTTTCATCGAAATCGAAGAAGAAAGGGCTGAAAAGACTAAGAAGTATGCCGCCCAAAAAGCATCGACCCCGAAGGAAAAACCCAAGGAGGAGTACTACGAGCCACGACAACACTACGACAGCAGTTACAATCACAACAAAAATAACCGAGCTTCCACTTTTGCTGTCACTGGCGCACAAACCAATTCGCAACGTCCCGGCAGGTCGAACAAGTACGTCCGAGGCCAGAACGATTCGTCCGGAGGATCCAAATCATACTGCGACTTCCACAAGATATTCGGACTTTCCACTGAAGAATGCCGAGCATTACAAAACACCCTGATGACACGATTTAAGGAAGACCTCAAAGAGTCTGGGAGTGGCGCTTCCCAACAGCCCGCCGACCAAAACAAGAATGCTAAGCTAAAAAACGAAGGCGAGCGTTTCCAACTAGCCCAGATAGAGGCCAAGAAATCGCCGACCGACGCAACAATAAATCAACAGGCCGGCCCTATCGATTTGGACATGGAGCCACCAAAGCGCGGGCGAGACGATCAGGAAAAGGGAAACGGCCAAGGTCCTCCGAGGCGAAAGATTAATATGATCATGGGGGGATTCCGTCATGCAGAGATTCAGTGCGATCAATCAAGGACTACGAAAGGAAATCCACCGCGGTCCAACTTTGGAGACGCAACCCCGACGATGAACTCAAAATCGGTGCCGACATATCCTTCGACGAAACTGATTCGATGGACTCCACACACCGTACAACAACCCCCTGGTCATCGAACTCAGAATCGGAGACTGTGAAGTGTCTAGGGTCTTGATCGACACCGGAAGCACCGTCGATCTAATGTTCAAAGAAACGTTGCAACGAATGGAGATGCAAGACTACAAATTCAAGGCCTGCGTAAGGCCATTGACCGGATTTGGCAGGGACCAAATTATGACCATCGGAACCGTCAAACTCCCAGTATGCGTCGGAAGAATCACCAAAATAGTTAAATTTGTAGTCATCGACAAACCGGCGATTTACAACGTAATCCTGGGAATACCCAGCTGCACGAAATGAAGGCGGTACCGTCTACTTATCACCAATGCCTCAAGTTCCCGACGACGGACAGCGTCTTCACGGTCTGTGGAAATGAACGTTTAGCGAGAACATGTTTTTATCACCGAGCATAAGATCAGAAAGGCGGCCAGACATGCCTAGTTGTAACAAACGTACGGAACGAACTCTCGCCACCCGACGATCAGCAGCGAGAAAACGTCACGCAGGTTAACATCGACCCACAAGATCCCGAGCGATGCATCGGCATTGGAACTTAAATAAGTGACGACTTGCGTGAATGACTCGTCGAATTCCTTCGTCAAAACGTCTCAACTTTCGCCTGGACCACCGAAGATATGAAAGGAATTCCACCGTCTCTCGTTCAACACGAGTTACAAGTCGATCCAACGTACAAACAGATCAAGCAAAAACGGCGCAAGCTTGGTCCAGAAAGAGCACAAGCAGTTAACGACGAGGTATAGCGATTGTCTAAGGCAGGATCAATCATGGAAGTCCGATACCCAGAGTGGTTGGCTAACCCGGTGGTCATCAAAAAAAAGAATGGAAAGTGGAGAGTTTGCGTTGACTTTACCGACCTCAACAAAGCGTGCCCGAAAGTAGTTTCCCTCTTCCCCATATAGACTGACTCGTAGAAGCAACGGCCGGGAATGAACACTTGTCATTCATGGACGCTTTTTCTGGGTACAATCAAATTATGATGCATCCCGACGACCGAGAAAAAACCTCTTTCATCACAGAGCGTGGAACGTATTGCTACAAGGTCATGCCGTTCGGTCTGAAAAATGCCGGCGCCACCTACCAACGCCTCGTCAACCGGATGTTCGCCGAGCAACTAGGAGACACTATAGAAGTATATATCGACGACATGCTCGTCAAGTCAGCCAACACCGACGATCATATAGACCATCTCGAACAATGCTTCAAAAGCCTCAACGAGTACGACATGAAGCTAAACCCGGCCAAATGCATATTCGCTGTAAAATCGGGAGAATTTCTAGGCTACTTCGTCACCAAACGGAGAATCGAAGCCAACCCCAAAACGGGGAATCGAAGCCTCACTCCTCGAACTGCCCTCCCCGAGGAACACGAGAGTAGTGCAGCGTTTAACCGGTAGAATCGCAGCCCCTAACAGGTTTATTGCTCGATCAATGAACATGTGCCTACCTTTCTATCAGCTCCTGCGGGGAAACAAATGGTTTGAGTGGGATGATAAATGCGAAGCGGCTTTCCAACAACTCGACGACCTGAGCACGCCAATCCTGCAGACCGATGCCGCGATACCACTTCTGCAGCTCGGCGACTGTAACTCCGACGGACGAGCGTGCCTCCCCTCCACTCCAACAACCTATATATAAAACATGTATATACGCTCCCGAAGCTATCTATGTAATGCGAACTACGATCGGCTTGATCCCCATATAGGGGTACGTAGGCAGCCTTTTCGAAGGTCCAGCTATTATTTAATAAAAATCATATTAAGTCACCAATCTACTCTTCATTTTTAAGGCGACCCCACCCCCAAAACACATTGACACCCTGGCCAGGTGATCAATTCTATAAAAACGCGTCCTCCAATGACGCAGTGGTAAAAAAAGTCCACACCTTTGATCTAAAATTTTTTTAGTTCATCGGCGCGTAAGTCGGGCCCAGTCCCGCAAAATCTCAACGGGATGAGCCGAGCCCAGCCTCGCTCCCAGATTTGACAAAGCCAGGTCCCAACCTGCATAAAGAAATCGAAACGAACGAATAAACCGACCGCTTCGTATATTGCGATTTCAATTTCGGAAAACAATGACACCACCAGGTCAAAAAAGGAAGCAAAAGGTTCGCTCTTCGACATAACAAAACATCAGTGTCTCAGCATAACAGAAAAGGATCACGGCACAACAACGACAAAATGACCAAAGCAGAGGATCATGAACCTCAAAGATCTGAAAGGTACAAAAAAGAGATCCAACAAGGTGCAAGCAAAACAGAGTCACAAATACAAATCCTCAAACAAAAAAAAACGACAAAGCGGAAACAGCGATGCAACGCCGACAAACGAGGAACGACTAGGGCCCCTTCACACCGGGGGACCTAAGAGAAGAGATATCCGTAGAAGCGAGGCCCGCCGACATACTCCCGTACTGATCCGCCGGGGACTCTACCGGCGAAGGGGAAGTCAAGAGAGCCATCCAGTCGCTAATCGAACCCACCACGAAGTCGCTATCCTGAATGTCTTCAACCCCCAACTCCAAGGCCGCTTCCTTGGCAGAGTCCCTCTCGCTTTCCAACCTGGCCATCGTGCCCTCGCGGAGGAGAGTCTTATCACTCACCAACACAGTGAATGCGTCAAAAACACCTGAGGCCGAGAGACACACATGAACATCAAACGATGGAACAAAATCTGCAATGATAAGTACCAAGCACTCACTCGATAATGTAAAACTATAAGGATTACCTTTAGCCATCGTGTAGGCGGAAACAGCAGCATGAACCGCCTCGTTACTCTTGTAGAACCGCTCGAACTTGCCCACCTTTTCGCGATACTCTGGAATAACCAAATCAAGGACGCGCCTCTTTTCGGACACCGTGGAATCATCCCTCTCCTTCATGATTCTAGCCAGATCCGACTTCAGGTCACGATAATGATTCCTAGCCTTCTCCCAGCTCTCCTTGTGACCAGCAGCCTCTTCACGAGATGCCCTGAGCTTCTCCTCGGCCTCGAGCGCCCTTTTCTCAGCCGCCTTTAACTTCTCGACCGCTTTGGCTGCCTCCCGCTCGGCCGCCTTTCGCTTCTCAACTGCGGACATCCTGGCTCGTCGCTCAACAGCAAGTGAGTCTTCTAGTTTGCGCATATCTCGGCGCAGCAAGAAGTCGAGCTGGTTAGTACTCGCCATCATCTGCCAAAAAAAAAAGGAATCAACAAAAAGAGACAGACCTCAACTTCAAGCACGCAAAAGAGAAAAGAGAACAAAGAGAATGATAGAAGAACAGTAAGGAGGAAAACAAAAAAGAACATTAGAAGGAATACCTGAAGAGTAGAAGCAGCGATCGCCTGGTAAATCTTCGCCCCGACCGCATCAGCATCGTAAGGAGCATACTCCTTGTGGGAATGACTGATCTTCCGGTATAAGTCAACGCAAGCATCCGGGTTGGAAGCGAAGAGATCAGTCCCATCATACTGATACGAAAAAGAGAAGTCCCTGCCATCCTCGACCACTTCGCTAGGCCCACCGACCATGTTGGCCGCCTCGCCGAGAGCACCATCCACATTCGCCGACGCTCCCTTGCCCGAAGAGAGCGCGTACACCATCGGGCGCTCTTCGCGCTGCACCGGAACAACAACACTGAGAGTAGAACCCTCAGGACGACCCGAGTCTTTCCCCGAAAGAGACGAATCTGAAATGACTTGCTTCTAGCGTCTCTCGCCTCCGGCTCAGCCGGCCTCTTATCCTTCTCCGAGCAGCTGAAGACGAGCCGGCCGCATCTCCAGAGGATGCCAATGGAGCCTTCTTGCCAGAGAACTTAGGAACATTCAACAACCGCTTCTCCATTTTTCCTGTCTCGTCGAAATAAACTGCGACACAAGAGCAAAATTTTTTTTTTTTAAAAAAAAAGGGGAGGAGAAGAACTCGCTATAAAAAGAAACGCGTCAAACAAATACCTGTAATCCCACGACAAAACTCCCTAGCCTTCCGAGCTTCAACAATCGTAGACCACTGCTGAGCTCCCAACTGTCGAATCCTCGCAAGATCCTCCTCGAAACCCACGGGACGCTCCTCGCCGACCGGATTTAGAACTGCAGAGGAAATGAACAGAGATCAATTAAGTATCATCAAAAACGGAAACAAGGAAAATCACTAAGTCTACCAAATTCGGGACTCCATCGATCCACAAACGTCCTATTATCGCCACCACAAACTAATGCCGAGTTCACCCGGGCATAGAAGTAACGACCCCACCAACGATGCGACTTCTTCGCAACACCAGTCACAACCTTGTTCCCCGATTTCATATTCACGACAACCGTTTGCTGAACCCCTCTGGTATTCCAACATACGCTCGATATCTCCTCGAAGAAACGGAGGCTCATCTCAATGTTGCACGACTCCGCCACTAAAATCGTGCCGACCATGTTACGGATCGCACCCAGACAAAGCTGAGTCAACGCAATCTCCCTAGCCTCACAATAGTCCAACAAGAGCTTCGGCAGCAGAAACCACAACTGACAGTGCTCGAACCAAAACTCGTAGAGGCAAACCCAGCCTGGAGGGGGGGTCCAAGGACGCTCGTTCATCCCAGGTACTCGAAACTCCAAATCAGGAACCCCACAAGCATACCGAATATTCTCCAAAGATTGCGCCGACGACTTAGAACGAGGAAACTCGTGGCCCGAAGACAGTAAAGGAGACCAAAACCCTGCATCAGGACGGGCCAAAACGACGCGCTCACTAATAACGTCGCTACCGCGACCAGTCACCCTACTCGCCATGGGGGTATCAACGTCCGCGTCAGAACCATCCGGACCTGATCTCGTCTCGGCCGAGGAAGATGGCGATCCGGAACCACCAGTAGAACGCGTCGAATCAATACTCCCCGGAGGCGAGGCCGACCTCGATCCATTCGGAATAATGGCCACCATATCCGGCCGCCCCGCAGTTCGTGGCTGAACACCTCTCGGAGGATGCATCCTCCCCATCTGCAAAAAGAAAATAAAGTAAAAAAAAAAAGAGAAAAGGGAGGGGGAGTGGCCTACCTACCAAACTGGCCTACCTAAAATCGGCTACCGAGAAACTTGGCCTACCTAAAAATAAATGGTCTACCTATAAAACTGGCCTACCTAAAATTGGCTACCAAAAGAATCAGGTCTATCTAAAAATCCTGCCACCAAGAGTCAAGCTAACTACTTCGCAAACAGAAAAACAAAGTGGCCGACCTGAGATATATGCCGAGCCATCAAGAAAAGGGAATGCTGACCTGTCCGAATTGAGCAATGGCCGACCTAAAATCGAATGCCACAAGCCGACCTACAAAGAGAAGGAAGAAAGAAGAAATGAGAAGCTGACCAAATTGCCGTTTTAAAACTAAGTTATAAAACAGGCCGAGCTATCACCGAAGTATGGCCGATCTCAAGTCAACTAAACCTAGCCAACCTATTGCTCAACCGACTTAAACCCAAGTAAAATAAGCCGACCCACGAAAATGGCCGACCTCAACTAAGACGAATGATTCATTCTCGGATCAAAGACAGGCCGACCACGGCAAGGGTCAATACAGGCCGACCTCCAGAATTCGCAAGAGTTACCGCCCAAAATCAAAAACGAGCCAAACTATCAAAACGGCCGACCTACGATCAATAGCCGACCTGCAAACGAAGGCCGACCTAAACTTTGCAGATTTTCATTTATTAATGGACTAGCACGAAGCGACCAATCAATATAAAATGGCTAACTCGCATCAACACCCACCCGAAACTATCAAGCTAGTTACCAACCTCCTAAAAATCCCAGGGAGCTGATCTTAAAACGACAAGGATTGAGAAAGAAGAAGACTTCGAAAAACGATGAACAACGGCTAAGCTCGAAATTAACAGGAGCATCGACCAGCACCGTCGAAGCGATATGCCGACCTGCAGGAGAAACCAAAACAGAAAGGTTAAGTACAACAGCAACTCAACGAAACGAAGTGTCACAAAAGGCGAGATTAAAAGGCCAACCTTGATTTCCTTACCACCGAGAAGCAATCTCCCAGAAGAGAGAATGTCCGATCGAAAACCCCGATGCCGACCGCACAATAGACGCTGATTAAAGCGAGATTACTAACCAATCTCACCAAAACGCCGATCTGCGAATCAACCCGAACCGCCCTTATCAACAGCTAACGATGTCCGAAGCCAGCTATCGACGAACCCGGTCCCAAAATTCAAACCGGCCGACTTCAGATTGGCCGATCTCAGGCAACCCGAAGCTCGAAAATCAGAACAGCTCACAAACCAGAGAAGATCCGCTACCAACTTAGAACTGAAAAAAAAATAAACGGCGGCAAATCGAAGAGCACCAACCAGAAGAAAACGACGATCTTCGACCAAAGGAGCGCCGCCCAGATTTCTGCGAAAACAAAACTGGAGAACAAAGTAAATTGCCGAGCTGTAGAGTCCAAACACGAGACACTCGCGACCCTTGGCAGCAAGCCGACAACGGCGAAAGCAACAAATCCGAATACCACCGGCCGGATCCCAAATCAAACACCAGGGATCAAAAACCGAGGCCGGGGATGAAGCTGCCGACTCGCCAAATCTACCCGACCCAAGAAAAGAACTCTACACCCGCGGAACCCGCGAACCAGAAAATCAGAAACAAATCGAGAGAGAAGAGAGAGAAGGAAAAATTTACCTTATCGGATGAACAGTATCGCAGTAGAGAAAAGAAGTGGAAGAAAGAGGAAGGATTGAATATTTATAGCCAAATGAAGAGGGGGAGAAATCAGCTTGACCTAAAGCAGCACCGGGACCCATGTCCGTACTAACGAAGCTGTACACGGACCCACTCCGAGCTAATCTAGATTCGCGCCGAGGCAATAAAATTCGAAGAATCCGTTGATTCAAAATCAAAGTTTTTCGTCAAACGGAATGGGGGGGGGGGGACTTACTGTTGGTACTGGGCCCAACCAACGCCCATTTAATCAATTCAGCCCAAGTCGATTCTCAAGCTCAAAATCAGTTCGGCTCAAGATTAGCTCGGCCCAAGAAGAAGAAGCAATCTTTGGCCCATATTCGAGAGAGAAGCCCAGCTCGGCCCAAATCCGAAAAATGAAGCCAAATAAGGTCAATTTCATCAAAAATACCCAGCAAAGCCACCGCCCTAATTCCCTATAAATAGGACCGTACGCAGTACGAAAAACGCATTCATTACTCTGGTTTTTATGGAATTAGGCTTTAATCACGCATTTGTAAGAGCTTCTCTTTTTTGGAGGTCGGCTTTCGTATTAGAGATTCTCGCTCGGGATCCCAATTTGTGGGAATCCTCTTTTTAGTACATTTGACGAGTCCGTTCTGTAATCTGTCGATCTTTGTTATCAATAAAATACGAATTATCCAAGGTTGAATCTAAATGTCACCATTTAATTAGAAATTTATAGATCCTCTAGCTCGTTTTCTAAGTATATAGGTCGTACACGCGCGGTCATATGTCTACTTCTCAAAGGCCTAAGCCATATTTAATCATGCATGCACCCCGCGGAGACCAATGTTTTCTTCATACAATCATACCGATTTAAATTTGTTTTAAGAGCCATTCAATCTAATCAAGTTCAAGGAAACATTTTCATATGGGTTTAACTCAATAAGCGTTTCAATATCTCTCATACAAAATAACAGTCACAGTAATTTAGTCAATTATTTGGTAAAAGTTTTCAGTCATATGATAGCTGTGTTTTGCTGTTCTATAAATTAAATACTTTAACAAATTTTGTCTAAATATTCATAAATATACCAACTATTTCATATTTCATACTGCTAAAATACTACATACAAATTTTTTTTTGCACATGTGAATGGTTAAGTGTTTTTTAATTAATACTATAACAAATAGGTCTAAATATTTTAGTATTATATAAAGAGATGCATCTCACCAAAATCCAACACTGGCCAAATTTGTAATTAAAAAATTGCAGTATGTATCAATAAATTGATTAAATTTCACATAGGTGTGGTATATAGTTTGATTTGATTACGTTTATTATAGAAAGAGTTGTTCCATCGTAGATGTCCTGCTGGTGGAACCATCTGTCGTGCATCCGTATGTAGTAAAACAAATTGCATTGTGAAATTGCATTTCTTTAACTGTACATGATAATGATTTGTACTTCATATAATAAAATTCGATCAATTGATAATCATTTATAATATGATTAAATAATCATTTTCCCTCTCTTTTCCAGTTTTGTAATTTGGTTTCAAGCCTTTTAGGGCAAGATAGTGGGGACCGTTGAAACTAAAAACCTGCAAAAGGGATACAATTTTTTTTTCTATCTGGTGGAGCTTTTGTTTTGTGGTAAATTGATAATCGGTAACTACATGAAAAGAAGAATAACAGTACGTGGTTTGCTTTGTTCGTTACAATAGCAAACGTAGATAGAGCTGGTGAAATTGATTTGGTTTTGACTGCAAAGTTTTTCTGAGCCAAAGAAAATGTAGTCGGAAAGTTTTGAAAAATATGAAAAACTTCTCTTATGTGATGTCTATAGTACTAATTAATGCCTATTTCGTGAAATTTATATACATAGGAAAAATGAGTTTAAACCTGTTGGGGTCCTCATTCACCTAGACATCTTGAGGGCTATTGGCCAATGTACACGCCCACGGTTTTCTCCAAGCGAAATCTATAATGCCTTAAGCTGACCGATCAATGTCACACAAAAATGTTGTCATTCCAAATTTTCCAATATACCACATAATATATGTGGGTCAGCATGAACAAACTGTTAGTAATGGGTTTAGCACCCCTTACTAAAAGCCTTTCATAAATTGAAACAAGGCCTATTTGAAGCCCAACTTCCGCTTCCGAGTTTAGGTCGGTGCTCAAATATGAAAATATCTGAAGATATATTCGTATCGCGGAAGAAAAGGAAAGAAGACTCCGAGAAGAAAAGAAACTATCCTAATCCCGAAGGAGAAGGATTATTCTCAAGGCGGTCTACGAAGGCTATATAAGAAGAGCCCCCTCCCTCGAAGATCACCCATTCACAACTTCCGATTCGAAACCTAGGGCAAATAACAGCTTACTGCTTCCAGTTCTAGATCTCGGTTCTTTACTCTTAAAACTTAGGTCGGCGTTCTTTTCCGACGACCTAAATCTCTTGCACTCTTCGAGCTCCGGCTAAATTCAATAAAACTATTATCTTTTACCCCCGCAATTTTTATATTTTCTCTTAGGGAGATATCTAGATCTTACAATTGGCGCCGTCTGTGGGGAACAAAAGATACAAGTTCGTCTACTCACGCCGGAACTCGAAGATGTCCACGGAGAAGCAATCCACGTACAATACCACCGACGATACGATCATCCAACCACCCGCCCAAAATCAGGTTGGGAACAACCCCAGGATACCGCAGACCGGACTGGGCTCTACCCCTCTAGAGCCCGGTGGCAGTTCAAACGTCTAACAGCACGGGATGACCGACGAGACCGACCTTCCGCCAGCCCGGAGCTCCCTCAACACAACGGGCACACTCCCGCCCCTCCGCCTCCACCCGCGCCAACGGACATTACCGCCATCCTACAATCGTTCATGGCGCAGATGGACAACAAGCTGAACGACCAGATCGGAGCTCTCAAAGCTCAGCAGGTCGCGTACCTGGAGACACTACTAGAGTCCCGACCCGAATCTCCACCAGACGAAGATGACACCGAGACCGGCACTCCCAGAGCCATCCACATACCCCCGGGCATCACCGCATCCGGAGCCAATCGCCTAATCTTCAGCAAAACACCCACCCCAGCACGGGGCAGCGACCACCAGCACGTGAAGGACTCCAGCGCGCGATCTAAGCACAAATCCCGCCTGTCCGCCCCGGACTCTACCCCCCACGAGACCCCCGAGCAAGCCGAGCTCGCCCGTCTCCACCAGAGGATCAACGAAATCAAATCTCAAGTCCACCACGCGACTAGTTCGGCCCCCGAGCTTGAGAAGATCCTAA